GAGGAGATTTTACTTTCTGATTATATTTAAAAAAATTATTATTTAGGATAATATACAAACAAGCACGACTATGTTACCCATCAAATCTTTTTAATTTTGTCAAATTCAATTTCTTTTCATCACCTTTTAAATTAATCTTAAAGAAAATAATCATATTAAGAGACAAATTATGTACCTATATGATTCACTTTATTCTTGTGACTTGCAAATTTGTACTAATATGAAACTAGCTTCATCCTTCAAAGATGAAGAGGAAAATTTGACTTTTAAATCCAACCTCTTCTAATAGGCCTCTATTATAATTTATAATTATAGTCATGTATTTGAAAATTTTGTAATTTAAAACATGAAATCAAGAAGATAAATAAATTTAATAATATTTGTGAAACTAATTTATAATACTATTCTATTCAGTGCACAATGTCTACAAGATCAAAGGATTCGATTCATAGAAAAACACTCATGCATCGGGGTAGTTATGAGACTTGAAATAAGAGCATCATACTCAAAAGATATAGAGATAATCGTGATAATATTAAAAAAAAAAGGAAAATAATGTTATTTATTAAATTAATTTGTAAAACTATCTTATTGTAATAATAAAAAACAAAAGAGTATTATCTATTTATTACCATTTCAAGGGCCATATGTAAAAATAGATTAAAGAGTTAACTTAATTGGTAAATTTAAATAGCTTACACATGTTGTTTTTGATAAATTTTTTCATGACCTTATTCAATTCCAATAATATCATTTGGTGTAGGCATTAATTGTCGCGTTTTCGTTGGAAAAGAAGAGTTGTTGAGTTTTTGCCCATTGCCAGGTTGTCCATATGGTGGTGGGACCAATTGAAGCAACTGCTGATGAAAAATAAATTTTATTAAAAATGAAGTATTTTTGACTTTTATTTTTATTAGTTTGGTCTATAAGTGAATCTATAAACTAAATTTAGTCTTAACTAAAGACAGTCCATTGGATTAAAGCTAGTAGGCCCATTAAAGAGTAAAGTGCTAGTTTCTTTCGTAATAATATAAAGTTTATGAATCTTTCATATAGTTAGCAATTACATAAATAAATAAGGTTCATCGTGTCAACCTTATCTCTATTTTTTTTTTTTTCTAGTTTTATGTGATTCTTGAAATTATAACATTTTAGTATAATTGTATTATCTACTCCATCCCTTAAACGGTGAAAATAATACTTTTTGATGAAAGGATTAAATGGATAAAAAAAGTTTTAAATAGATTTAAAAATTAGAGAATGATTCAATTATTTACTCAAAATATAGAGATGAAGTGGTAATTGGAGTCATATGTTTAGAATTAAATAGTTTTTAACCATAATTTTGACAAGGGCTAAGTTTCTCCAACAATCTAGGTAGGTGCAATAAATTTCATCTCAATTTTTTTTTTTCTTGATACGTGGAGGCTTAATGGATGGAACAACATTGTAGACTATACAGTAGAAGACAACTATCTTTTTTGAATAACATTTACTAAATTGGTGATAATTTTTATAGTAGAGAGGACTCAAACTCGAAATATTTAACTCTCTATATTTTTTACGAGAGGTAAGAAGACCAATCAGACCACACCTGATTGGCTTTTTCTTTATTTATTTAATTTAAAGAATCATATATATTATAATTAATTCAAGGTAAAAAAAAAAAAAAAAAGGTTATATTTTTTTTTCTCACGTATTTATGTGATTCGTTGAAATTATAACATTTTTAGTATGAGAATTATAGGTATTACTCTTAAATGTCTCTATACCATCACCACATGCACATATTACACATATTACGGTGAAAATAATTAACTTTTTTGAAGAAGGAGGAGTAAAATGGAACTAAAAAGAAGTTTTTAAATAGATTTTAAACTTGAGAGGAATGAGTTCAATTATTTACAGCGTTCAAAATATAGAGGATGAACAGTGGTAATTGGAGTCTATGACGATTTTATAGGTATATTAATTAATAGTCTTTTAAAAAGCATAATTTTTGACAAGCGGCTAAGTTTCTCCTACCAACAATCTGGAAGGTAGGCTCTTGCATAAATATTTAAAATATTTCATCTCAGTCTTTTATATTTCGCTTGATACGATGAGAGGCAATTAAATGGATACTGGCAACACACAACTAACAGATTCGTTAGACAAACATATACAACATGCTAGCAAAAGACAATTATCATCTTTGTATTTGAATATACACATTATTACTAAATTGGATAAAAGTAATATAACATGTTTCATAAGGATTAGAAAATAACAATAGCAGTGTAAACTACAAAAACACGAACAATTGAATAGACCTGAACATAGTTTAACATCTCTAAGCTATTTTTATACACGAGATAGTGCTCACCAGACCCACACGCCAAATCAAGACACTCAACACCACACTCATTATAGTGAAAATTGGCATCCTTTTCTTATAATTTAATTTACATCTCTATAGATTATATCATAAATATATTATTAAGTTATAATTCATCAATCGTAAGATTAATAAAAAATAAAAAAAAAAGAGAAATTTGATGGTCCTTCTAGACTTTTTTTTTAGTTTTTTATTCTCAACACACATAATTCTCCAACAACTTAGACATAAGCATAACACCGCCAAGATACTTAATACGAATCAAGCCAAATTAGGCAATACCTAAAGTCACCTACCGCAAGAATGAAGACAAATAGTGGTGAGGTATATAGTGATACATTATAAATTACGACACATTATTATAACCAATCCAACGCGCCAGAATTTTGTTCCGCTTCTGAAACATTAATTAAACATCTCATTCTGAAAAATAAAAATACAAATTACTCTACCATTCAAATTCATCCGTAATTAATGGAAATCCAACAATAATACTATGTTTTTCATTGCTAGCATTGTAGAGTTCCCGGGGTTGTAAATAGATCAAACTGTTATCTTCTAGAATTTTGAAATTAGAGTAACACACGTAAGCCAACGAGTAAGTCAAGATTAATTTTATTGTTAATGCATCCTATAATAGACTTATAGACCTTTTACTGTTAATTCTTTTACTTCATATACATACATCTTCTCATCTCTATATACTTACACACAAGCACTTCATATTGCAACTATCTCTCCACATAAAACAGCCAGATAATTGCTAAAATTTTTAGCTCCATCTCAGCATCTAATTAATTATAGTAACCATTTTCAATTTAACTTCTTCATGGTTAAAATTAGTATTCACTAATTCAACTCACTCTAAAAAGAGAAGATAGTATATAATCTAAATGACTTAAAATATTTATATATTGAATCTCTTTGCAATTTATATTAAGTGATATTTCGTAGTATATAATGTTTTAAAAATATTTAATAAATTGATATCTCATTTAAGGACAACTCAACTCTACAAGACATATCTTCCGGAGAGAAATGAGTATCACTGCTAAGATTCCAGGAACTATCGTCGCTCATGATCTTATCATTATGTAGGTGTTATGGAACCATAATCAAATCACACATAGTAGAGATTCAGTTAACGGTCTAGTGTATAAATTATTTGACATTACTCGAATAGTATTAAGTTATTATTACACTCTTCTTCTCATAGTCACATTAAGTCACAACAATCTAATCTAAACAGACATAGACACCATATAAACACAGACTGTCGAAGGAAAACAAATATTTTCTCAAATCAAGTAATGAGATTATGTTTATTGACTCACGGCGTGGAAACCAAACTACTTATTTTTATTATCATTAATTTCATCACATCTCAATAGCACTAAACCAACCAACAATATGTTTGTAGAAAATAACGTACTCAAACTTTAAAGCATATTGTAACCGCACAAAACAGTCACATCAAAAATTAAACAGTATAAATCAGTAACTCTCAACTACTTCATATGAAATGTTCTTGATCACTAAAACTTACCAAACTTCAATTTATTGCGTCTATCCCAACTACCTTCCCATTCAAGATAAACACTTAAATTAGTAAATATATAAATATCCTTAAATTCTCTCAGTAAAATTTATGTTATCATCTATAGTAGAATTATGTTTCCGTTTATATCAATTAACGCGCTCTTACTATCAGATAGCTAAAGCAGTAGCATAATTTGTACGATTTTTATGAAAGAAATGTATCATGGATAAATTATGATATAACATTTATAGAATCAGTACTCTATGTAAAATTAGCACACATGTTTTACTCATCCATATAAATCCAGACATTACAAAATGCGGACAATTTCATAATAAAAGTTTATATACGTGGAACAACTATTTATACATTATTCATCCATTTTTTCACATTGAATCCGTTAATTTTAGGTTAAAGAACAACGAGATATTTGATTTTATGAAGAGAATGTGAGATATTTGACTTTAAAAGAAGAATGATATAGTTAATGCAATATTGGGGGTAAATTAGAAAAAAAAAATGGAAAAAAATTTCAGTTGGAAGAAAAAACTTCCATTTTTTAGTCTCCATGTAATTTCAGTTGTATCCATTTAAATGAATCCAAGGGAGTAATAAATAAAAAAACATTTCTAATTTCTATATTTTCAAAAAATAAAATAATCCCTTAATATATATATATATATATATATATACACACACACTTGTATAAGAGATAAAACACATGCTCGAGTCCCTTTCTTCTACACAGACAGAAACAGAACTAATATTCTGCTGCACGCAATCTATCCCGATACACCAGTTCAAAAGTCTATATCCTTTTAAAAAATAGTTGTATGTCATGTATAATCTTTAAGCAACTTGCCTTTACAGTAATATTTTGGTATTGGCTTGTACTTTTGTATCTTCCAGAATAGAGACCTTTATATTATTTTCTTCTGAAGTTTCCACATTTTGGTTATTTCTGTTAAATAAAGAAACAGAGAAAAAGAAAAAAAAAAAAAAAAAAAAAAAAAAAAAAAAAAAAGAAAAATCTAAATTCTTACTTTCATTTCTTTAGTGGTATACTATATATATATTTAAAAAAAAAAAAAAAAAAGAAAATCTATCTTCTTCATTCTTTATGTATATATATATATATATGACGATTCTATTGAATCTTTGAAGTGGGTATTCAGAATTTCTCCTTTTTAGATGGAGAAAGTGTGTTTTCTTTTTGTTTCTGCTTTGTTCTTTGCCTCTCTGTTTCATGGAAAGATAGTTAAAGCTAGAACAAACCAGGATGGATCGGAATCATGGGATTATGTAGAAGTTAGACCAAGTAAGTAACTCTGGAAATCTGCTTCATTTTTTAAAAAAGAAAGTTAATTTTAATGAACTTTTTCCCTTCTTCTTCGTTTAATTTGCAGAAGCTCATATGTTTTGGTGGCTTTACAGAAGTCCTTACAGAGTTCAAAATCCTTCCAAGCCATGGCCAATCATTCTTTGGTTGCAGGGTGGACCTGTAATTAATTTACTTTAATTATATATTATTTGCAATATGCTTGTTTTTTTAGTGTATTTATTTATTTAGATTTGTTTTTTATATATAAAAAACAGGGAGCATCAGGTGCTGGTTTTGGAAATTTTGGAGAAATCGGACCTCTGAATGTTAATCTGAAGCCAAGAAATTCAACATGGTTAAGAGTGGCTGATCTCTTGTTTGTGGTAATGAATATTCTTTTTTTTTAAAAAAAAAAAAATTCAAAAATATAAATTATATTTATTTCTAATATTATTCTCTTATGATATTAAGTATATATATAGTACATTTATATATTTTTTTTTTTTAAAAAATTTTTGACAGCGGATAAATCCAGTGGGTACAGGATATGAGTTTTGTGGAGGACAAAAGCTTTACTTGTCAAAACTGAATATGAAGAGAAAGCCAGCAAACGCTGAACTTAACAACCATTATATACAAGAAGGTATTTAACCAGAAACTTGTGAACCTGCAAAAAGAGTCCTTTGTAACCATAGTAGCGGAAGGTAATATATATTTTTTTTTAAAAAATTTTTGCAGGATAATCCAGTGGGTACAGGATATAGTTTTGTGGAGGACAAAAGCTTACTTGTCAAAACTGATGAAGAAGCAGCAACTGACTTAACTACATTATTACAAGAAGTATTTAACAGAAATGTGAACCTGCAAAAGAGTCCTTTGTACATAGTAGCGGAGTCTTATGGAGGCAAATTTGCAGTAACTCTTGGATTATCAGCTCTAAAAGCCATTGAAGAAGGGAAACTAAATGCTAAACTTGGAGGTAATTAATTAATTTTGTTAATTAATCATTTCTCTTCTATTTTAAAAACAAAATTACTCTTTTCTATCTCCAGGAGTGGCATTGGGAGACACTTGGATCTCCCCAGAAGACTTTGTGGTTAGCATTATCTTATTTATTATCAATTAATGAAGTATTAATTAACATTCTATAATTAAGATTTAAAGTTCTATCAATCAATTTTTTAGCTTTCATGGGGTCCTCTTCTTAAAGATGTCTCAAGGCTAGACAAAAATGGCTTAGAAAAAGCAAACAGGTAACTGTTCATTTGAAAATATTATTAATCTTCTTAATTAAGTAATAAAAAGAAAATCTTAATTTAATTTTCTGATAACACAGTCTAGCAGAGAAGATTAAGCAGCAAATAAGCAATGGCCAGTATGTTGAAGCAACAGATTCTTGGGCTAAACTTGAAGGAGTAATAAGCCGAAGCAGCAATTCAGTTGTAATTTTTTTAAATACTTTGATTGCTTGTTATTTATTAATTATGTTCTAGTCGAATATTTTTAAACTGTAATTTCATTATCTTGCTAATATTTTTTTTTATTGTCGAAATAATTAATTAATTAATTTTGTAATTGAATTTTCAGGATTTTTATAATTTTCTTTTAGATTCTGAAATGGACCCAGTATCTCTAACAACAGCAGAATTGTTACAAGGAATAGCAATGAAGAGATATAAGAGATATCTGAACTCTATTAGGTCAACTCCAGGTGGTGATGGAGATATTTATAGCTTAATGAATGGTGTAATTAGAAAAAAGCTAGGGGTTATCCCTAATAATGTTTCGTAAGATTTCTTCTAATTGCTCAATTTATTATTTACTAAGTTATTGGAGTGCTTAATTAATTAAATAATTAATTTAATTAATTAATTAATATACAGCTAAAAGCATGATTTTTGTGTTTACAGATGGGGAGACCAATCAGATGATGTTTTTGATAGTATGGCTGGTGATTTTATGAGACCAAGAATTAATGAGGTATTACTATATTTTATTTTTTTGAAGAAAATCACTTTTATTAGAAAATAGAAATTTTAGAATATTAATTTACAAATATTATTTAATTATCATATTTAGCTAACAATAAAAATTTTATAAAAGAGTAAAATAATTATATTTTGTTAAATTATGAGATTAAAATAAATTTACTCTTAGTTTAAATATCAATATTTCTTTTTGGTTAAAGCATAACACATGTATACACATAGTAAAGCAATGGAGTTTTTTATAATATTCAATTAATATGAATATAAACATTGTTTAAAACTAACTAATAAATATAATTTATTAATTGATCAACACATATGATATCTCAAAAAGAATATATATTTTTGACTATTATTGATATGTGAAAGGTATGGTTCGACAAAATATTTTATTATTATTTATTTATAAAACTTAATTTTATAATATGAGGAATTTTTTTAATTTTGCACTAATCACTTAGCTCTTAATATTAAGGATTTCAACTCAAAAACTCTCATTTCTCGTATGAGTGAAAAGACCAACTAAATCACCCGATTGTTATTTTATTAAATAAACAGAAATATGGATAACTATCATGTCATTCATTATTAAATAACTCTATTTTCTTTTTGTTAGGTGGATGAGTTGCTAGCTAAAGGGGTAAATGTGACAGTTTATAATGGGCAAGTAAGTTTTTTTTTTTTTTTACACTTCCTTTCTTTAATATCTTTTGCTAAAAAAAATTAAAAATTAGCTAATAACACACATATATATATATTTTTTACTCTAAGGATTGGTTGGAGTCCATCTGGTCTACCCATGTGCAACTGCAACTTCATTTTCATTTGGGTTTTGTCTAATTGAAGTAATATACATAATATATTGTGACTAATAATTCAATATTTTTTTAAGAAAAAAATATACCAATCAATATGCTAATTTTCTCTAGAAAAGAATTGTCTTGGTTTCTAATGTGTAAATTTTTTTTGTCCGTTTGTTTATTTGTAGCTTGATGTAATTTGTTCAACCAAGGGCACTGAAGCATGGGTTGAAAAACTCAAGTAATAATATTTCTTTTTATTTCTTTTTTTCTAGTAAAATTAATTCGTGTTGCTTTCTTGATTTATAATTTTATCAATTTTTAATTTAATTATGTGTAATAAATTATTTTATTTAATCCAAAAAAAAGTGAGATGTTATATATAATGATTTTTGTTAAAAAAATTAAATTATTTTTAATAATTTGATCATATTATTCATTTTCAGATGGGAAGGGCTTCCAAATTTCTCGAACATGGATAGAACTCCTCTCTACTGTGATGGTGATAGACTTACAAGAGGATTCACCAAATCCTACAAAAACTTCCATTTTTATTGGATTCTTGGAGCTGGTCACTTCGTAAGTATTCTGAATATTGTTATACAGCTTTATATCTAAGAAAAGCAAACTCCAATCGGTGTTTTTTAAGTTATCTTTAGAACTACAAATTAAGTAAAACCAAATTAAATTAATAATAATAATAATAATATAATTAGACTTTAATTTAGGTTTTTAGGGTATAAATTTTTAGGAATTTAGGGTTTTATTTCACTTTTTTTTTTTTTTTTTTTTTAAGTTATCACTTTGAAAGCTACCAAAATTAAGTAAAACCAAATTAAGATTAATAATAATATAATAATATAATTAGACTTTTTAATTTTAGGTTTAGGGTATAAAGTTTTTAGGAATTTAGGGTTTTATTTCAACTCTTTTTTTTTTTTTTTTTTTTTTTTTTTGGTCTTCTCATGCATAATATGTACTCAATCACTATAATTAATACCATCATCACACTATTTATTACGTCATACTTTGCCAAAAAGCTAAAAAAATGTGCTACTGTATATGTAGTGAATGAAAAAAAAAAAAAAATACACTGTGGAGTGTTTTGTAGCTTTATGAAAAGTAAAGCTAAGTATCACAATCACAATAATGAGCTGAACACTTATACCTACCAAAAGATAAAAATGGAATAAATCTATTAATGTATAAAAAAATCATTTTAGATTTTTAGGTATGCTAAGATATTAAATTATAGAAACTTAATCTACCAGAAAAAGAGAAAAAAAAAAAAAAAAAAAGGAAAGAGAAAAAAAAAAAAAAAAAAAAAGGAGTGCCTATATTTATCTCCCTATTTTTATTTTTGGCGCAAGGCGGAAAAAAAAAAAAAAAAAAAAAGGAGTGCTATATTTATCTCCCTATTTTTATTTTGGGCGCAGGTACCAGTAGACCAACCCTGTATAGCATTAAACATGGTGGGAGCAATCACAGATTCACCAGCAGCAGGTTCTGCATAGAAAAGTCTTAGCTACGGACAAACAAACGAACAATAAACAGAACGGGAAATCAAGAAATGGGTTTGGTCAGAGATACACTATACAAAACCTGAATCAACAAGCAAACAACCAGTACATATATGTAAAAGGGTACTGCACTGGGTTGATCAAGAAAACTTGCTTTTAATATTTATCATGATATTTCATTAAGTTATTACATTCATTTTTTTTCCCATCATCATCGTTGTTATTATTATTATTAACTTTTTAATTGACCATTCTTATACTATAGATGATGAAAAAAAAAAAAAAGATTTAAAAAGAATAAACTAACTAAAAAACAACCAATCAAATTTTGCGTCTCACTCTCTACTACATTATTATTCTCTATATTTTGAATCACAAAATTCACTTATCTAACACATCATATAGCAAAATATATACTACACATCCGTACAAAGCGGAAATGCCCAGCTTAGTAATTTTATAATTTATATGGAAGCAAAAGGGCATTCAAGTAGCATTTATTGGGAGACAAGTTTTTGGCTTTGCTAGTAAAAGTACTGATGAAAAAGAAAATGAAAGAACTTTTCTTTTTTGGAGAATCAACGGACTACTTGATTAATCACCCTATTTAACTAGTTATGATGATGGAATTTGATTATGCAAAATTCATATCTGATCCCGCAAAAATTTTCATATAGATTTATATCTATTATATGCTAACAATACTTAAAAATATTATATACTATCACAACTAAAAGATATTTTAAAAATTATTAAGAGTTAGAAGTTTCGGCTATTGAGTATAATGTTCGACTCATATTGTTTTGTTTGATGCAAAGATTTAAAAAAAAAAAAAAAAAAAAGAAAAAAAAAAAGTCAAAAAGTTAAAAAAAAAAAAAAAAAAAAGTCAAAAAGTGTGAAAGAGACATAGAGAATAAAATCCGTTCCATTTGGATCGGCTCATTTATTGATCCTAATTTTGTAGATTATAAACCTGAGCGAAAACCAAAAAAGAAAAAAACATATATAAAAACTCTAAAAGACTAATAATTAAAAAATGTCTATATAATAATTATAAAACTTTGGAGTATCTCGTAAATTTATTAATAGTGGTCCTACTTATATGAATATTTTTCAAAGATGTATTATGCGGCCTATTCTCATGTGTTAAAATTAAAATAAATACTTTTGTTATATAAATTAAGTGTGGTCTAGTCAGTCTTTTCACTTATGTAAATAATATAAATGAAGTGTGATTTAGTTAGTCTTTTTACGTACGTGAGTAAAGATTTAAAAATGAAAGTACAAAAAGTGTGAAAGAATAAAATCCGCTAAGTACAAAAAAATTGTGAAAGAGTAAATCCGTTCCATTTGGGATCTGAATCAGCTCATTTATTGATCTTTTCACGTATGTGAGTAATAAAATAAAAGATTTTGAAAATTCTTATAGTTGAAAAGACTCGAACTCAACATCTCTCACTTCTCATATAAATGAGAAAATCAACTAAACCACACTTGATTAAATACTAATTTCTCTATTTATACATATGGTTGTGAATAATAAGTATTAATTAAATCTAAATTAATTAACACAAACTTATAAGACATATACGACATGTGAAATTAACTATATCCCCAACCTTTGAAAATTTACGCTTTTCTTGTAAATTATTTAATTTTTCCATTAAAAGATAAGGAAATATCCAATAAATAAATAAATATTGATTCATAAAGTTTCTTTTAAGGATTAAATTACTCAAAAATTTTGACCCTCATCAATATTTTCTATTTGAGAAGTGTGTTATCATAATTATAAGTACAACACTTTGATCCACAACATGAAAATTCATCTGTAAAGTAAAGAGTTGACTTTTTTACAATTTTTTTTTTTAAAATGCTCAATCCCATATATATATATATATATATATATTCAATCCCATATATATATATATATTATATATATAAAGAGAGGAGAGAGAGAGAGAGAGGACCGAGGAGAGAGAGAGAGAGGAATAGTTCATGAAATAGTTGATCCTCTAACGGGGGCAAAGAAAAGAAAGAAAGACAAGTTGAAGATAATGATGATAATCCACATACATTAAAATATATGTCTGCTACATAAAATGACAAATTAAATGGCCATTTCACTTTCATTTGGTGAATGTGCAAATTAATTATTATATTATATATATATATATATATATATATAGAGAGAGAGAGAGAGAGAGAGAGAGAGAGAGAGAGAGAGGAATAGTTCATGAAATAGTGATCCTCTAACGGGGGAAGAAAGAAAGAAAGACAAGTGAAGATGAATGATGATAATCCACATACATGAAAATATATGTCTGTACATAAAAATGACAATAATGGCATTTCACTTTCATTTGGTGAATGTGCAAATTATTATTATTATTATTATTATTATTATTATTATTATTACCTTAGAAGTCAATATAACTTCAGAAATGGAGTAAGAAAGTACTAATAACATTGTGTCAGTGGAGCAGTCAAAGGGATTTACCAATCCATATGAATAATAAGCACAAGCTCAGAAACTCTGGCATGCAACATCTACGGGCGAGATGCATATATAAAATTATTCGTGTATTAAATATTTTAATTTGAATATGTAATAATTTAAAGGGAAAATTACATTACGTGTAATAATTTAAATAATATGTCTCTGTCTTTTTTAAATATATTAATTTTTTCATGTGTTTTGCTCCCGTTACACTATTAGATCATTCTCTTCAATTTTTATATATTTTCTGTTAAGCCAATAAAGAAACAGAGAGGTCAAATGAAAGATACTAAAATATTATACAAGAAAAATTACAGTGTAATTCTTACGATTTGAAAAATACAAATAATCTATCCCTGTGTTTTAAAAAATAAAATGGGTATTTTCATAATTTTAAAGTATTTGTCAAAAAAGATGTAAAAATTGGAAGGAAATACTTTATAGTCTGACAGAAGTAATCAATAAGGAAATTGCAGTGTATTCCTAAAAAGTAGGAACGAACTAGTTGCAAATCATAGGGATCGTACTTTAATTTTTTCAAATTTAAATATAATTTGTATTCTTCATCTTGTGGTTGTAATGCCCTTTAATGGCTTTATAACGGATTGTGTTGCCCGCTTGAAACTGTTGCAATTACTGTTAATAGTGCAAAGTATATAATATTTATTGTTTATAATAACGAATGGCAAAAAAAATATTTTTAATTTGAAAAACTTTTCAATTTAACAGTTTAATTTTTAAAATTAAATCAATTAAATACATAGCATATAGTTAAAAAATATAAAAATTAATGTTTAAAAATTATAGTGACTACACATAATTATTTTACAAAAAAACAAAAAAATATTAAAAATATATTATTATTAGTATGGAGTAGTATGTAACATTTAGGGAAAACAGATCTCTTATAAAGTTTGGAGTTTCAAAAGAATAAAAATTTAAAGTTCAAAGTTAACTTTTCTTGTTTCAAAAATTTTCCATTATTTTTTTTTCTTTTTTTAATTTTAAATGACCATTCTTATGCTCTAGATGATGAAAAGATTAAAAAACGAAAAAATATTTGTAGAAGGAAAAGAATTAAGAAGCTTATCAAACTCTTTTCCCCCCCTTAATTAACATATTATTAAAACATAAAAAATTCAACAATTGTATAAAGTTATTTCCTGGTTCTGCATTTATAATCAATTTAATTAGTTGAGCAATTAAGAGATTTAATTAATTAAATTTCTGCATTAGAAATTAATTAGTGTAAACACTTAAAAATATTAAAGAATTCGAGAACATGTCCACTGTCTGCTTTCAGAAAATTATGAAAGCATAATAAACCCAAATCCAACAACTTTATATCTTTAAAAATCTGCAACTGAATATTCCTCAATTGACAGCTAAATTAGCCACTTTTATATTGAAAAAAGAAACAAAATGGTAGACCATATCTATTTTTTAAATAAAAAAAAGGTTAGACAATATTACAAACCTTTTTTTTCACTTTTAAAAAGTTAATAGAGCCTTTTTACCCTATAGAGTCCCTTGCTTTTTTTAAAACCCTCAATATATAAATTTTACTTGTTTTATTTGAAAAATTAGATAAACAGCTCTCTATAATTTTTTAAAATTCAACTAGTTGATATGTTTAGAAGAGATTGTTAATCAATTTATAATATATTTATTATTTGAGCGCAATTGGGTCCACTCGACCACCATATTAAGAATCTAGGCTAATTAATAATGTATTTAATATTTGACTTATAATGAGTTGGACATTTTAGTCGGTTCACCTTTCTCATTATATGTTATTTACTCGATTTACCTTCTATAGCATGGAAATATAGCAAAGTTGTAGATATTTGAGAGGGGCTGTAAACCTAGAAAATTTTGAGATGGGAAGGCTAAATCATTAAAAAAATTCCAAACTTTGTAGGCACTTATAATTATACCATAAATCTTATTTTCTTCTCTTGATATCCTGAACTTCAACTTTAATTACAATAACACTCTAATTTTAAATTGTATCTAATTTAATAAATAAAATATTATTTTCATTGGATCTATACTCTCTTTTATGGTCACTTTTAACCAAAACTGACCATTTAATAACACCCTAACTAATATTAATTAGAAATTTAAATTCATAAAAATAAGTAAAATAATAAATTTTAGTCATTTATAAGCATAGAATATTAGTTTAGGTTTTTGTTTTGCCATTTTTTTAAGTATGAAATTTTGTTTATACTTAAGTTAGATCTCTTATAAAAATAGATTTTATTAATTACCATATCATTTTATTTCTTGGGAATTATTATTTGTTGTCAATATTATATAAATAAATAAAAATATTTTATTTTTAAGGTCAATAGATTATTTGTAAATAAGCAGTGGTGGTGGTGAAGGATTCTGATTGGGGAGAAAAGATTAAATTAGGCACACAAAAATAATATTTTATTCTTTAAATTGGGTACAATTTGAAACTACAGTGCTATTGTAACTAAAATTTAAATTCAGTGTACTAAAAGAAAAAAATTGAATTTAGACTATAATTAAAACTACTCGCAAAGTTTAAGGTTTTTTTTTAATGATTTAGCCCTCCTATCTCAAAATTTTCTAGGTTTACACTCCTCTCAAATATCTACAAGACATTTTATTTAGAGCTGTAATAACTGAGTCCTACTATATTCTTATTCAACAACAACTTTTAAAGTAATATTTGATGTTTTGAGTAGGTCAAAATACTACATTTACTGTTTATAGCGTTTTGCATAGCATTTATACTGAGGTTTAAATGTTAAAAGAGAATATTATAAAACGTTACGTCTCTAATGTTTGATGAGACACTAGTAAAATAATTATTGGGACAGTTAACAACTAGCAAAAAATCTAATTTTGTCGAACAAGTTCTACGTATGTTTTTTTTCTTTATAATTCATAAGAAGCTTAATAAGTCGAAATAACACAATTGATCATACAACAAGGGATGCTTCTTCTCTTGATTCACCGAATTTGTAAAAATTCTTGTAATCAAGAGAATTCAAACGCAAGACATCCAACTCCTTACAAATGTTGTGGATAGCACTACTTATGTACTACAATAGATAAATGTTGTAATGTAAATTAACTTCCCAATTACATTAGGAATGGATTTATAGTTGGAATAACTTTGAAATGGTGGATATATATACATATTCTCCTACATAATATCATGCATTTGGAGATTGTTTGACCTTATAGGGCCCATTTTGAATGAGCATTTATTCATTTATGGATTGGGCCTTAAATTAAATTAGGCTTCTAGGTGATTACAAACATGTTAGGCTTATTATAATTTTTAAAGACTTTATACTTGTCTAATAAGCAAAAAATAAATAAGAAAATAATTTAATTTAATAAAGACAAAAGGATTAGCATAATAGTTACTCTTTAGTGACAATTATTATGATGTCTCCTTTTATTTTCTTTTTTTTTTTTCCCCTTTAGATTATATGCTAGTTTGACATGAAACACTGTTGCCAAAAGAATTTAAACAGAAAAAATATATTAATATAATAGACGATAATTTAAAATTTGAAAAAAAAAGTCTAAAAATTTATTTTCTTTAGTATGTCAATAAATAATTAAATACCCAAATAAATATAATTAATTATTAAACGGTTTTAGTAATTTTGTCTAGTTTCACTTTCCTTTGAGATATATGTTTATTGTATTATTATTGGTTGTCAATCAGCACTCCCCATTTGTGTTAAAGTTTAATTTCTTTCTTGACTAAGAATTTCATTTTCAATGTTCGATCTTATAAATCTTGGTTCAACTAGTTCTAGGTTTGGTAAAAGGCTGATTTGGTTCAGTTTTGCTTTTTCTACTTTCTATTTTTTAATTTTTAGGTTGCAGCCAAATCAGTTAAAAAATGTTATTGATTTAATCAATAATTTCAGATCGATTCAAATCCCAAAATCTTTGGATAGAAGATAAGAACCAAAATCAATATCTCTTAGGGTTTGTTTGGGTCAGCTATTTATATTAATTGATAGTTAATAGCGATTATTGATAGTAGATGTTTGATAAAATTTTGGTAATACAAATTGTTGTTAAAATGTAAAATGATTATTAAGAATATAATTAATTTTATATATTATGATGTATAATTTATATATTTTTTTAATTTTTAAGATGAAATATTATTTTTATTTTTATATAATGATATAAAAATAAAAAATTAGTCAATCAGTGCGATCTGTAGTTCAAGTTCTGATTAGCGTTCTTGCGTCTTGTAAAAGATGTGGAGAGTGGGACACTTGTAGTTCAAGTTCTTTTAAAGTTATCATCAATTAAATGAATGTTATTTAAAGGGAAAATCAACTAAACAAAATGTTTAATTCAATTCAAAACCAAAATTTTCTAATCAATTCTGGTTCGGGTTTTTCTGGGTCGATCCCAATCACGGGTCAAGTTTGATTTATCATCTGGCAGCAGCAGAAAAGACCCACCATGTGCATCTACCAAATTTTTGTAAACTTTATGTTGTCCCGTGTGTTTCTATCTCTACCACTTCAATAAAAAGAAAGAATGCTCTACCATTGGTGTTCCAATCAAATAAAAATATTTAATATTTAGAACAAATAAGGATATAACTATCTTTTTACTGAAAAAAAAAAAGAGAAAAAGGAAAAAATATAAATAAAAAGTAACAATTTTTTAAAATGAAATATAACTGTTGTTTTGGTATATGGGTGTATCCATGCTGTTACTCTATTTATCTTGCTTGTGATTTTCAAATTAAAAAAAAAAAAAAAGAAAACATGTTATGAGGGTTTTAAATGCCTTCTATTCTATATAGCCTTTTTTACTGGGAGGCTGTTATGAACCTTTTCAGATTTGATTCTTTTTGTGCAAATATCATATCATTACCTTAAAATTTTTTCCTCTGACAGAATTTTTAATATAAAAGTTCCTTTGATCAGCCATTGTGTGTTTCTATTTGTTCACTTTTTTCTCCATTAATTAACTGCATGATTCTATCCAAGCTGTGAAGTGGTATCAGAACTTCTCTCTCCTACTCTTATTTAAAAAAATGGAAAATGTTCTTCTTCCTCTTCTTTTTTCTCTCTCTCTTCTCTTCTTGAATCCTCTGTTTCATGGAGGAATAGCCATAGCAGCAAAAACAAAGGATGGATTAGAAGAATGGGGATATGTTCAAGTTAGACCCAGTAAGTAAAAATTACTATTTCCAATTCCTTTTCTTGTCAAGTTTTTTAAAACTAAATTTTGTTTCTTGGGATTTTGTTAAAATAGAAGCACATATGTTTTGGTGGCTCTATAAAAGTCCTTACAGAGTTAAAAATCCGTCAAAACCATGGCCTATCATTCTTTGGCTACAAGGAGGACCTGTGAGTAATTAATTGACTCTCTCATAAAAACCCAGATTTGTTTTTTCCTTGTAACTCATTATTTGTATTGAATTTGTTCTTTTTTTTACTTTTAGTTTTTCTTTTTCCTTTTTTTTTTTTTTCCAATATAGGGTGCTTCAGGTGTTGCAATTGGAAATTTTGAAGAGATAGGGCCATTGGATACTAATCTGAAGCCAAGAAATTCTACATGGCTTCAAGTAGCTGATCTCTTGTTTGTGGTAAGTGAATGCTCCTGATTCTTGATTTTCTTTAGCATTAATTAATCTAGTAATAATAATAAATTATTGATTTTGTTTTTGGTTGAATGGCAGGACAATCCAGTTGGAACAGGATTCAGTTTCGTGGAGGACTTAAATCTGTTGGTGAAAAGTGATAGAGAGGCAGCAACCGATTTAACTGTATTGTTGCAGAAAATATTTAATAGAAATAAGAGTCTCCAAGAGAGTCCTCTGTACATTGTAGCAGAGTCTTATGGAGGGAAGTTTGCAGTTACTCTTGCTTTGTCAGCTTTAAAATCAATAGAACAAGGAAAGTTGAAGCTTAAGCTTGGAGGTAATTGCTTGCTTGCACACAATCTATTTCTTGAAAAAAAAAAAAAAAAAAACCCTCAGTTAATAGCTGATAATGAGTTTCTGATTATTTAGGAGTGGCATTGGGTGACAGTTGGATCTCCCCTGAAGATTTTGTGGCAAGTTATTTTCTTTCTTTTCTTTTTTTTTTTTTTTTAATTGCATTGCTTTTTTATTTTTCTCTTTTTCGCTAATTTTTGTTTAATTATGTTCTAGATTAATTTTAAATCGTAATTATTCTATTATTATTGTAGATTTCATGGGGTCCTCTTTTAAAAGATCTTTCTCGACTCGACACAATTAATTTAAAGATTGCGAACAGGTAAAAAATATTTTATATATTTTCAAAGTAAACACTTGGTAATTTCATTTTACATGTGAATTCATACGTGGTTATCTATTATGTAGAAAATGTAAGGAGTAGAGTATAAGGTTCCATCGAGTTTTTTTTGCCGAATGTTATATCCTACTGTGTAGCCTATATATTTTTTCGGTCCATTGAATCTGTCTGTATTAAAAATTTGTAGAGTTAAAGTTTAAATTGTTTTTTTGGTATCTAACAAAATTAATCCACTTCAATTAACAGGAAGGCACAGGAGATTAAGCAGCAAATCAGAGCTGGTTTCTATTTCAATGCAACAAATTCTTGGAATGACCTTGAAGATTTTATTTCCCTTAAAAGTGGCAATGTGGTACATTTTTTTTTCATATTCTTTATTGTTTTGAGTCTAAGTTCACTCAATAAATTTTTTTTTTTTCTTTCTTGCTTGCAGGATTTCTATAATTTTCTTTTGAATTCAGGACCAGATTTTTCATCAATCACAACTTCAAGTGCAACAACAAAATTATCAAAAGTAATTTTATTAAAAAAATATTCTAGATATCTAAATTCTTTGAGGTCTTCTCCGGGCGGCAGCGGTGACAGCAGCGGCGGCGATAATTTTATGGATAATATAATTAGAAAGAAGCTCAAGATTATCCCTAATGATATCTTGTAATCTCTTCTCTCTTAATTAAATAATTATTAATACAAAATAGTATTTATGAATTATGTATTAAAGTATGATTCTGTTATTTAAAGATTTGATGCTCAGTCAGATAGCGTGTTTGACGAGATGGAAGGAGATTTTATGAAACCAAGGATTAATGAGGTAATGTATATTTAATTAGCATAAAGAAATTTTTAAGATTAATGTTTTATTATTTATATCATGAAATAGATTTAATTATTTTTTTATATTTTCAATATTTAAATAATCAGCTCATTATTTTATATTTTGTTCTTTTACAGGTTGATGAGCTTTTAGCTAAAGGGGTGAATGTGACTGTATATAATGGGCAGGTGTGCATTAATTTGTTTTATTATTCCTTTTCAAATATCCATTATTAAATATGAATTCTAACATATAAAGTGATAGTTTTTAATTAATATTTTATTTTAAAATTCAAATCTCTAATTGAGATTATTTAAGTGTTACTGCAATTTTTATAACACATTATATCTTTTCATTTTTTTTATTCTTAATTTTTTTTTTAGCTTGATCTTATTTGTTCCACAAAGGGGACGGAAGCATGGGTTGAGAAGCTTAGGTAAGAAATTATATCTTTTAGGTTTATTTTTTATTTCTGCTAGATCAAAATTTTTAAAGGGGATATTAGTATTTATGTTACCTAAAATAAACACACCCACAAATCAGAGAAAAAAATTTTTTTTGTGTAATTCAATAAATATGTTTAGGCATTGGACAATGGCTACCTTTAACTGGTTCATTTTGATTTTATAAATTTTAAATAAATAAAAAAGGGTTATGTGCTATTTACAGGTATGAAACGTTCCATATCTTTTAGGTTTATTTTTTATTCTCTAGATTCAAAATTTTTTAAAGGGGATATTAGTATTTATTGTACCTAAAATAAACAACACCCACAAATCAGAGGAAAAAATTTTTTTTTGTGTAATTCAATTAATATGTTTTAGGCATGGGACCAATGCTACCTTAACTGGGTCATTTTGATTTTATAAATATTTTTAATAAATTAAAAAAGGGTTATGTGCTATTTACAGGTGGAAAGGGATCCACAATTTTCGAACCAAAGAAAAAGAACTCCATTATTTTGCGGTGAAGGTAGAGCCTACAAAAGGGTTTCACCAAATCATATCAGAATTTGCCACTTTTATTGGATTCTTGAGCATGGCCATTTTGTAAGTTAAAATTTACCAACCCACTAACATTATCATTTACATATGCAAATTGCAAAACCAACCATTTAATTCAGTTCGATCCAGTTATTTAAGAGCAGATTCAATTTGTCGGCTCAGTTAGTTCAAACTCAAATTTATCCATTTGATTTTAGTTCGATTGATTGGAGATTATCGATGGACTTAAAATTAATCTTAATATAGCAAAATCGATTAAAACCGGATGAATTGATTGATTCGATTCGAGGATCTATTAGATTCAAATAATTAAAATATCAGTTTGATTCAATCGTCCATTAAAAAAATTTCGATTGCAATTTTAATCAATAAACTGAAAAAAAATAAAAAAAAACCGAGCATCCGTACATACCATACAATCCTAATTCCCTTTTTGTTTTTGGTTAATGTAAAATAGCTTTCATGGATTGAAGTAATTGTGTTGTTCAAACCCAATGTTAGTATGCATTGATCAAAAATTATAATGATTTCAATAAAACATATCTATACAGTTTTAGGGAAAAAAAAAAAAGTCTTTTTATGTCATTTTATGGCTACATAAACTATTATTACTATTCATCATTTTCATACCATTTGCCACGTGCACACCAAGTTAATTTAAAAATTAAAATAATCTCTTCCATTATCTATATTATTACCCTCCATTTATAGCAATTATAATCAGTTTTTAAGAGATTAAATTAAACAGAAAAGAATATCCTTAATAGTTTTTTTTTTTAAAATACACTAATCTTGATTTATTTGTAAATTTAATAAAATTTGCTGTATGAAAATTTATTTATCCCACGTTTTATTTTATTTATTTAAAAATATAAGTTAGTTATTACCACAATTACAATATGCATTAACATTTTAAATTAAATTGAATTGCAAATTACTTACAATTTTATTTTGAGAGATGGAAAAAGCACATAACTTAATTAATAACATTATTCCCTTATCTTAAAATAATATAATAACACATTAATTAATTTGAAATGTTGCTAATTTAATTATTCACTTATTAAATTATTCAATGATTTTGTTTTCAAAGAATTTATATTAATTTGTGACCATTACATTACTAATAAAAAATAAAAGATATTTCATGAAGAATTTGTTTACCAAAAAAACTTGAGAGAGAGATTGGTGACGGTGAAAATGGAGAATTGAATGTGTCAGAGAAGCTTTACTACTAATAGTAATTTGTGTGGGGAAAAATGGAAAACAGGAAAAGACAGATAAGACCACTCAACCTTGAACAAATGATGAAGAAGTTTCGACCCAAGAACTTCTACAGCAACAAGATTCAATTGCATATAGAAGGCCAAGAAGAGAGATTCGTAAGCCTGCTCGCTTTGACGATATGGTGGCCTATGCACTTCCAATTGCAGATGATGATGTTCCTTCCACTTACACAGAAGCAATAAGTAACTCTGATGGTGTAAAGTGGAAGCAAGCTATGAATGAAGAAATGCAGTCTCTTCATAAAAATAGGACTTGGGAGTTGGTGAGACTGCCCAAGGGAAAGAAGGCAATTGGATGCAAATGGGTATATGCAAAGAAGGAAGGATTTCCTGGTAAAAATGAAATTCGATACAAGGCTAGATTGGTAGCAAAGGGTTATTGTGTGGGAAAATGGAAACAGGAAAAAGACAGATAAGACTCACTCAACCTCAGAGACATACAAAAATTCCTACTCTGTTATTTATTATTAATTTTTATTTTATTTTATTTTATTTTGTGGGTTACTGCAAAATATCTTGTATGTATCATCTTATCTTATGCATCCTCAATACTCATTATTACACTATCATCATTCATCACTTGCATACAAAAATTAAAATAATTTTCTCTCAAATAATATCATCATTATGAAAAAAAAGTTAATATAGTAACTTGCATTATTAATTTGAAAGTAAAAAAATTATTCTATTAATAATGTGTTTTAAATAATTTATATTATTTTTAAATTTCCTGGTAAAATGAAACTGAGACATGGTTTGATGGTGAAAATGGACCAGTCATTGTGTCAGAGAAAGCTTTTACTACAACTTGTGTGGAAAGTGGAAACAGGATAAAGACAGAAATTCACTCAACTCAACCTGAGAGACAGACAAAATTCACTTAAATACTAATTTTTATTTTGTGGGTTGCTGCAAAAAATGCAGGTACCAGTGGATGAACCCTGCATTACATTAAAGATGGTGAGAGCAATTACACAATCACCAGCTTTGTTTAGGTAGAAAGAAAGATTCCCAGAAGCAAAATTTATATAAACAGGACAGCCATGGAGACACAGAGATCGCAGCAAGTTTTGTTCAAAGAAAATAAGTCTTCATTTCAATTACTTTCTTCTTTCTTTCCTTTTTCCTTCAATTGTTCTGACTCGAAATCACACCAAAAAAATATCAATTGAATTCATTTTAATATTTTGATTTGAGCAGCTATGCTTTTTCATAAACATATATGGATCCTCTGTAAGCAAAAAAAGTTTACAAAATGGGAACAGGTTGCCACTTGGATTTTCCTCCACAAAACTCAGTTAATTTTGTTCTATTTTACTTCATTTTACAAGTTTACTATAATATGAACTTCATTTAATAAATTTAGTTCAGTGTAATAAATTTTCTCAAAACAAAATTAATTTAATAAAATAAATATTCTGCTGGCATTTTTGCGATAATAATAATAATAATAATAATGTCTAAAAAAATTAAATTTTAATTAATTGAATAAACACAAACAAGGTCGAGCTCAATCGAAAATTAAATTCACATTACTCTGAAAACTGAATCACAAACAATTAAATTCACTTGGCTTTTAATGGATACAAAAACAAAAACTGTCCTTTGCACCCATTATTTTGGATTTTTTTTTTAAAAAAAATTTTCGAAGCAAATAAATTTAGAGATCGTTAAAAAATTATTTTTAAAACCTTAACGAGACATTTGGGCATTTCATGTTATATTTTTAAAAATAATTTTACACTAGGGCATCATTACTCCAATTACAGATGACTGCACCTTTTGGATCACTCTCGAGCATTTGTATCCGTAGAACTGGGAATTGGATGAAGTCATTATTGCACATAATAGAATGTGATCCAAAATTACATTTGATATTCCCACATAGGGAAAACCCATTACATATTACAAAATATACAACCCTATATATAATATAATATAATTAAGCAAGATGATAACTCTATCCAATTTACATCACTCAAACAATGAACAAAATATTTCAAATAAGTATTGCAAGATTTATATACGTGAAACCCTAATACCACCCTCACTCTATCTTCTCCAATACGTCCAACCTGGTTTTCCTCTTCCAACCTTTCATTGCAGCAACAAGGTTTACTAACCCAACAATTTGATTTTTACTGTATTCCTGCAAGGAGAAAGTTTTTCTCACAATTAGAATATAATAACCTATCATATTATCTGGCATTAAAATTTACTTTCAAGAAGAATTTTACATAATCTACCACAAACCTTCAAAACAATTAACCACTCCAAAATAATACATAATATTTCAATTGTGCGAAGCCATCTTACCGGGTGAGCTCGGGCCCAGTGCACATACTCGGTTTCTGGAAGGTAGTAAGCCTGTATGAGTAGAATAAATGTGTGAACTCTCAATACAAATATTAGAAGTGAATTATGTTCAGAAGGCCATTTTAACTGATTTAAGCATTCAGGTCAAGCCAGAAGCCCCCAGTCTGATCTTGTTGACATAAAGTTTAAGAGCTTAGAGGCAGGCATGCGAAACAAATTTAACTATGGAAGTGACATTTTGTATAAATGTAACTAACAAAAGTAAATGGAACTCCAATTTTACTAGCATATAAAGGATTATATATATATATATAAAAATAAAAAAAAAAAAGGGTAAAAATTGAGCTTCTCAACTTAAATATGAGATTAGGTATTCAACCCAACTTACATGACATTTGGCATTTCAACAAGACATTTGATGAATGCAAGAAAGGTCATGTAACAAATAGTCAAATAGAACATCTATCGTTCTACACATAATTTAAAATTAATTGCATTCCTGTTCTCCTGTTATAAAACCCAACAAGAGAATACTTCTCACTTCTAGAAGATTAAGAAACAAATTTGTAACTTGCTTGTGTCTATAATTATGCATTTAGCTTTCTTCATTTGTTCTCAGTGTATCTCATATTTAACCAAAACAACATATTGACGGCTTTAGCCAATTAACTGCAATATATTTCATGCCAAATATAAATTGAACTCATTTTCATCATCTGTTGCGTTTGCTTTTATTTTATGTTATTACTGTCTTTCGCCTTTTATAAATCTATATTCCTAATATTCATTAGTACACTTAGATTCGGGGACAGTGAGGGGAAGGAAAAGGTGAAACAAGAAATCAGAATGAATTGCTTGCTTAGGCTTTGTTCAACTATACCATTACTGAATGTTCTCCATCGTCTTTGAAAATCACCCACATAAATTATGCCCACTCTTACAGTCTTACCTTAATAAAAGCTTCAACTATTTGTAACTTAGGCTTCACATTTACAGTGGCGAAATGTTGTAGACCATTGATCAAAACCTGAAAAAGAAACAGAATCTCAACAAGCCGCAAAATGAGCAGGGGCAAATATATGAAAATTATGAGGCACTCGTATTCCTCTTATAGTTCCGAGGAAAATGAGGGTGGGGGAACCTGAAGATCCAAAGACATGAGAGCTCGGCCTTCATCAGTACACCTCTTCACCCGTGATAGACCTTCAACAAGAGTTTCAGCTACAATTTCAAGACCATATTCTAGGAGAAGATCTTGAACCTAGGAAGAGAGGAACATAGTTCAACAAGTTAGTCATTCAATATTAACAAAGTTAAAAAGGATCCTTTCCTAGTTCTCAACTTGAAAACAAAATCTTAACATGCAGATAAAACTTAAATTTCCTCAGCAAATTCATGATCCACACAAGTGAAAGTCTTTATGTGCATGAACTGCAGGCTATTTGTGAAGTATAAACACCCTTGATGCATGAACAGAGACTATATTCTCTTTAGGTATCTAGCAAACTCAGCTTAACAAACCAGAATGACAGAACAGCATAAACATTCTAATGGATCAAGAAACAATTCACAAATAATGATCACAGATATTGAAATCTATGCAATTCCTGCTAGCTTATCAGCCAGCTAAAAGTCGCTCATTTATTTATCTACCTATTTGCAAGTGCATGCATATAACCACAATGCAACAGTTGCGAAGTTAACACCAGGCAACAGCTCAGAAAATTTACCCTGGAGCTTAATACAAAAACATTAAATGACATGAAACGACGTAACGGAAAATAAATGGTCAGGCTTTAAGTGGACATTCACTCAGTGTATTCTCTGTTTTCAGTCCAAAGATTTTTATACTGAAGTCCTCTTTTCCATTTACAGACTCCTTTCCCCAAAAGTAGAACGGGAGAGAAGAAAGAAACTGAGGATGAAGAAGTCTGGAATTGTTTCATTCACCTGTACATGGGTTATGATATGAGAGAGACCAAAGGTTTTTTCTTTTTCCTGAACAAGAAGCTAAGTGCATGTGGATGTTACAATCTTGGTAGTGCTTATGACAGTTTTAGGTCCTCCTTTCAGATGTTGGTTTTTTAATTCTACTATGTGAGAGAGAGAGAGAGAGAGAGAGAGAGGAAGAGAATGTTGAGCATCTGTAAGTATGGTGGTACAATGGGGGACATAAAATGGCTTGTGCAAAGGCAAAGGAAGCTGCATCTCAGTGGATCAAGTGTAAAGATGGGGAATCTAGCACCTGTCTTTGAAAAGACCAACAGAAGGTCAATTTGTCCTCTGAAGTCTAAATATTCTAAGGCTACCATTGCGTAGGTTTCTTTCAATAGAGAACTCTTTTTTACCTGCTACGTCAACATTCAAATCACTAATTTGACCAGAATATTGCCTGAGATTATCTGAGACCATCTTGAAAATCATATGACTAATTGATTAAAAGATTGAGTACAATTGAATAGATGTCCAAAGTTCAGGAATGTTTCAGCAATTAGGCCAGTGAGATGAATTTGTAATGTAATTCAGAATTTCACAGAACAGTATTGATGCACTGTACATCAGCCATTACCTCTTTGTGAATTCCCCCATGAGCAAGCCTCGTTCTATAGTGCTTAAATTCTCCCAACAACAAATCAACATACCTAAAAATTGTAAGTCAGAACATGTCAAATGGTAGTACTAGATCTATAAAAAAAATCCACAGGTATCGAATATCCAATGCGAAATGACATGAAAGGTATTTTATTAACATAACAGCTGACATAAAGCCATAATACTTGATGTATGTGGTTCAAGTAGGCTCTGTGGCAACAGACAAGGAAGAAAAAAAAAGCAACTATTAAGGCCATGAGAAAAAGGTCTTATCGATTATTATATAGTGTAGCAAAAACCTCCCAAGTAAAGAAAAATCAAGAAATAGAAACAAATGTTGAATCCTCAAGACAGTTGGGCACAGATTGAGCACTAAGTTTAGAAACATGGGCATTTTGAAAGAAAGCAAAAGAACCACAGAAAAGGATTACATGTAACAGCATGATGTCTAAAGTCACATTATCCAATAACTGCATTCTGTTGCTCATTAAAAATTTCAATTCCATACGTGATTTCAGTTCATCAGTAAGCATAGAGCACAAAGTCAATAATGATATATAATTATTTACCAGTAAACACTTGAGTCTTAGAAATATCAATTTTGAAGTTAAAATCATAAATCTAGAGGTATAGAAGTTAATAAATGCACTGAAAAACAAACCCATTATGCTCTAGTCCAAGCTCTTTTACTTCCCATTTAGCATTAGCAATCCGGTCAACATACCTGCATAAGAAGTGCTTCTTCAATACAGTATAAAAATCTAGATAAAAAGTATTGACAAAAGAGGAGCCCGGCACATACATAATTAGCAGCATTTCCAGCATATAAAACATACTACTGCATTAGAAATCAATGAAAAAGAAAAAAAGCAAACCGGAAGCAAAATGTCATTGTAGTGAGTGTTTTTCGCTGTAATGACAAAGTTAAATACATGGCTTGAAGCTCATATGATTAAGTAAATGCGTTTAGCAGTGTTCATGAGCTATATTTGTACTTGAAAGTGCACGTGCTTTTAAGGGGAAAAAAATCAATTTCATTTATTTAAGTTGGTGAAACAACAATATGACCTCCCAACACCAGCAAATTAATTATAAAGAAAAATTAATAACCCCAAAAAGTAGTTCTAAAAAGTGTATGAAACTCACCAAATGGAACCTCAATTTAAACAAAAATACATTTTATGCTCTTACCCATCGATATGTAAAAGTAGTCTTGCAGTTGTCCTATGAATGTATGCTGTAAGGTCCAGCACAGAATCCACCTGTTAAAACATAACTCACTGATTAACAAAAGGAGTGTTAACAAAATCTAAGGAGCTATATAAGAATGTAACCAAAATCAGAATAGATTACAATCTGAAAAGATAAAGTTTTAGCCCAAAATAAACTCTTCTGGGGACACTCAGTTCTCTGTGTCAGTTTTTGTGGGACTCGAAGCTCTAATGAATTTTTTTTTTTCCATTACATTTAGTTTTTGAGAGAGATAATACCCAAAAATAACATTCCTTCCGATATAATTGAAAAATTATTATAACTAAAAACAAAATACTCCTATTTTAGCCACTTTAAATTAATTCTTCCAATTAAATATTAGAGCTTGGAGTCCACAGAGAGAAGGCACAGGTGGGGGTTGAGTGCCAAACAGAGTTTATTTTGGAGTAATTCAAAAGGCCAAAATAGAACTATGACATTCTGAGATTTTCTAATTTTTCATTTCACTAAGAATAGACTAATAGAATACTTTGACAGTAGTATCGAGGTAGTGTGTGTTTGTATTGCGGGTTTTTTTGTAACTTTTCCACAAAAGGTATAAAACTGATGCAAGAGATCAACTATTATAATTTACCATTCTGACACGTGAAATTTTCATTAAATTCCCAATTTATACATTAATAGTGTACACTGGATCTCCCCTTTTATACATTAATAGGGTGCCCATATCAATTATTGCAAAATCTAAACTATCATTGATACTAAATACCACAAGAGATAGTAATAAAAAAATGTACCAGGTGTGCATAGAAATCCTCCACTATAGCTGGGTTACTTTGAAGAAGAATCGACTGAAGATGCGATTTCGATCTGTGCAACACTCGAGCAACAAGAGATATATTATCAGCAGCTACGCATCGTTCCTGCAACAGAATGGTTGTATCATTCACATGCAGAGTGCTTCACTCCTATCAAACAACAGGTATATGTATATACATCTCAAGGCACCAAGCAGTTTGGTGTACTATGTTACTAATTACATGCACTCTTCTGGTACAATTAACAGATACTGTCTCACAAATTGGAAGCATCATAACTATATCCATATCTCAATATCCTTATCCAACATGGTACTGACTGCTGTAATTCCATAATAAATAAATCAACATAACAAGAAATACACATGGTTTTATATGCACATTTGTGTTAAAACGCAGATATCCTGCTACTTTACCGATCCGGCTACTGCCCCCCAACCTTCTCCCTCTCTCTCTCTCTCTCTCTCTCTCTCTCTCTCTCTCTTTCAGTACTGCGTGCTGTTGTAGATTTCCATTAATAAATATCAACCATAAAACAAGAAATATCACATGGTTTTATATGCAGCATTTGTGTTAGAAACGCAGATATTCCTGCTACTTTACCCGATCCGGCTACTGCCCCCCAACCTTCTCCCTCTCTCTCTCTCCTCTCTCTCGTCTTCTCTCCTTTCCTTCTCTCTTCTCTCTCTCTCTCTCTCTCTCTCTCTCTCTCTTTCAAGCACGCGCGCGCGCACACACACACACACACATGAAACACGGTTTTCAGTTGCCATAAGACGAGGTGTAAAGTGTAAGTTATGTTCATGACTTAAATGTCATAAACAAGAGATGATAAAACAACTAAAAGAGAACAAGAAAGACGCTGTGCATCATAAGAACATTCATATTTTAGCTCATTAAAAAACTCTCACAAAATCTTAGAAGATGGTAACTCCCTTTCTGCTAGTGTCGAAAATGACTAATTAGCTTAGTACACTGAAAAGGGCTACTAGAAATGCATGCAAGGATAGCATCTGTATTTTGATCTATTTCTTGTTAAAGGAGCAAACTTTGGAGTCTTTATCCACCCCTCTTTTGAGAAGCCCACATGCCTATCTTCCACAATTGACAAAACCATGGCATGAAAAATGAGAAAGGGATTGTATTTAAAATGAGATATTGTATGAACAATTTTGGTGGAATCATAACCATTAACGAACAAATGGCCTTTTTCATTTAATCATATATGAATGAAAAGCAGAGCATATTAATTTCTAAATCTGTAGAAGAAATATATACCAGTGATACAATTGCATTGTAATAGGAAGATTTTTTCTTTTTTCTGTTTTTTTGTCTATTGGTGTTTGGGGGGGTTTTGTCTTTGGTGTTTGGGGGGGGGGGGGGGGGGGGGGGGGGGGGGGGTAGTTGTGGAGGACACTTGCTTGAAGACAAATAATCCCTCCGTTTCCAAATATTTGTCACATTTGAGAAAGTATTACTGTTCCCAATTACTTGTCATATTTTTGTAAATTTCAATAAATAATGAATTAGTGGGGGGGGGGGGGGGGGGTAGTTGTGGAGGACACTTGCTTGAAGACAAATAATCCCTCCGTTTCCAAATATTTGTCACATTTGAGAAAGTATTATGTTCCCAAATACTTGTCATATTTGTAAATTTCATAAATAATGAATTATTTTTTCCATTTTTACCCTTTGTATATGACCAACAGTGGTTGCTTCACTTCCTTAATAATTTATTGTAACCTAAACAAATTAAGCATAGTATAGTCAATTCACTCAATAATTTATTGTAACTTAGACAAATTGAATAGTTTTCTTAAGGAGCATGAAAACCCAAATGTAATAAATATTTAGAAACGGAGGGAGTACACGATTAGAGCAAAGATAAAAGATCAAATAATGGGCGAATACATGAATTCAACCATAAACTTTTCAAAAAAAAAAAAAAAAATTGTGGCACCCCAAACTTAGGCCCTGCGAAAGCTTGATGCTCCATTTTATTTTACCATTGACACACCTCTTAAATTGAAAATCATACGTGTTTTCCAAATGCTTCGAAAGCAAGTGATGAGAAAAAAAAAAAATCTTTTTAATCTTCAAATCTAAAATAATATTTGAAAATTAAAAATAATAATAATAAAAAAAAAAAAACTAAAAACCCAAAATTTAAAAATGGATTCAATATCCAAGACAAGAATTTTATATAATAGATCTGCAGTAACTGGTAACCAAATAACACAAATTCAAACAATACAACTCAATCAAAATATTATTTTATACAGGAATACTTTTTAAGCAATCCCACTTTTTAGCAGCAAAACTTCAATTTAACACAAAACATAAAACCATCCAAACAAATAAATCCATCAAACCTCAGAATATGCAAATATACATCTACTGCATTCAAGAAAGCAATAGAGGAACGAAAAAGAGAGAAGATAATAGAGACGCAAGGGTTGTATTTTTCCTGCCAAAAGCAAATTCAACAGAAGCTCCACAGTTACAACAATATAACACACTAGTTCTAGCAAAAGGACAGAGAGAAAAAAGCCACCATAACTATCAAAAAAGGTTTTGCCAACAGATGATATCTTTTCATCCACAACCAAACAGAAGCACAATCAAACCTGATCTGCTCAGTCAAAAGAAAATAACACAATCCAACTCAAAATAAAAAATGCAACAACTCTGAATCCAAGAACACATAATTTACCGTAATTTTTACCGACAAGAAAAATAACTCCTAAAAAGGGGATAAAAGAGTTTGAAACCTAGGGAAGATAGATCTGCTCCCTCCTTTACTAATCTGAGGAAGATAGATTTGAAATCTAAGAAAGGAAGAGAGAGGATTACAGCTAGTGGTTGAGCAAAGAGAAACAAAGGAAGAGTATGCAAACGGCAGTGGCAGTGGCAGTGGTGTTGAGCAAAACGAAAATAACGAGAGGAGATTAAAAAAAATTAAAAGCAAAAGGAGCAGAAAGTTTAGGATTTTTTTTATTCATTTATTTATTTGTATTTTATAATTTGAGCATATGCATTACACGCCTCAAGTTTTGTTTGGTTGTGATAAATAAAGTGCACAGCATTAACAAATTTCACAATTTCAAGGGGGCATTTACGGGGTGAATTTATATATTCAGCCATTAAATAATTGATGAACTCTTGCATAGAAATTTACAGACCGGAAATATATGATCATCCTAGGCAGACTGCTTGCTAAAGATAATTGCTATAAGAATTTTCCACAAACCTTGAGACCAAAAGATACGGCTGGTGAATGATTCTGAGGACTAGTAGGTGTTAAATCTGCATGTATATATGTACTTAAAGATGTGGGTGATGACGGAAATGCTGTTGACTGGGCTTTTATCCACTGATCACAATCCTGTGATATTCTGGATAAGGCCGTCTTCAGTCGATCTAAGTAACATTATAAAACACGCATAACATCAGCTCAAATCAGAATCAACTTTGTCCTATATAACAATCATCAAATCAGTAAAAATCACACTTACAATTGACAGAGTCAGATAAACCTTTTCCATTTGAATTAACATTTTGCTGACCAAATGTTTCAAATACAAAGTAAAAGAAAACCTCGAACAGCTGGCATATCCCCTGCAATAGGGTACTGAATCAGGGAAAATAATTTAGAGAAAATATAAAGCATCACTAAGACAATAAAGCTAACAAATAAACTCAAGCAACAAATTTAGCCGACAAATAGGAACATACCTTGAAAAACTCAACATTCACTATTTCTAGTTTTTGCATCAGCCTAGCATATTTGTCCATTGACCTAATATGCATAAGTAAATAGCCAAATCAAATCAAATTACATATAACCAAGGTTGTAACATCTAAAAACAGAATATTGATCACTTATAAGCTGAGGAGAACTTCACCTCAGAAGACAAATAGATGATCCTGTATGTGCAGCTATCTCATCATTTTTCCAGTGTACAGAGTTGCTTCTTGAATGAGTCCACTTAGAAATTCGACTTGGGAGTTGACTATCCTCATCAATAAAGTCAGCAAGCAGATCTTCATTTTCATCTTCATTTTCAGTTCCATTCATATGATTGGCATCACTACTTTTGGGAGACACGATGTCAACTTGATAGCTATCATTATTATGTCCATATTCACCTGAACTTGCCCCATTAGGTAGGGAAGAACTATGACCTTCTTTGGAACCATGCAATAATTTTAGAGAAAATGGGTTTTCATTTCTGACCCAACTTGTAAAACCATTCTTCTTCGCAGTGGCATCAACCAAGTTCAATGATTTATAATGATTCAATCTGGCATTAGTAGAGCTGCTTCCATCAGATGGAGCGATTAAGGGTGCCCCATCACCAACAAGCCCAGGAAAACTGATAACTTGTACTGTATCTGATGGCAAATTCAGCCAATTTTCCTTTTCCAAAACCATTTTAAGCGCCTAAATAGAAAAGAACAATTTTAGTGCAACACGAGTATCAGAAAACAAAATTACAATCTGCTAAAATTACGTTGTTTAATACGGTAAATGCTCTACCACAGAAGATAAATCAACCAGCAAATTCAATTTTTATTACAGGACAAAGTACAAAAACTATATTGACTAAAGTGCAAGCACCCTTAGAAGAAAAGAAATCAGAATTAAAAGAGCAACAAAAATAAAAAGGTCAGAAGAGAAAGCCTCCAAAAAGGGCATGCTCAGAACAAAGAGTCTGTAAAATACTAAATACAAGAAATGAGCCAAGTAAATTAAGAATGCAACTGTAGTTGCATAACATTTAAAAATTGGAAAATAAGTTAACCTTGATAATAACTTACATGAACATTTTGCCGATGAAATGCTACAAAATAATTCTCACAAACAACCTTCAATTTCTGTCTGAACTCAACTGCTTCAACTCCACAGAAGGCTTCACCAGCCAAGATGAATACACTCAGATCTTCATAATTTTTCAAGAATTGGTGAATGCTCATTGAACCACCTGCGGAAGAAGAAAGCAATACTGATACTCGACTTGTTGTAAGCTGCCAAAGATTCTTCCGTCCTCTCTGAAGGGTTTGTGAAACAAAAGCTGTAGCTTCTTTCCGTAAGTGATACCAAGGTGATCCGCTGCTTGATGCTCCAGTGCCATCATTCCTAGTCTCATCAACTTGAGAATGAGAATCTGAATGAATGGAATTAGTAGCTCCCATTGAGTCTCTCATAGGCACAGTGGCAATAGCTTCCTCAGTCGGTCGTCCGTCCACAGACTTTGAGTGAGAGCCATTAATTCCTTGAGGATCAGAAGAAATTATTGCTGCTGAATCAACTTGCTGGGTATCCCCAGAATGCCAAGAGTTGTCCCTTTCCCTTAGCATATTGCATGTTTCGGATGCCCAATCCTGCAAGACAGATGAAACAATTTCATAAAGAAAAAAAGTTGACAGGCAAATGTATTAGAATGACGATCAAGAGAAACACCCATCATCAAGTAACATTATTACACTGACATGATTGTAATTATAAAACCATACCTATAAATATGTTCTCTCCAAAAACAGATCCAACATGGAAATCATCTGTTTTTGCTAATGTTATAATGTTTTCAAATACTACTTCTATCGACAAACTTATATGACCAAAAAGGTTTCAATTTCTTCTTGCTTTAAGAGGTTCTAAGTTGATACAAGAGCTATAAATTCAGATTGGTAAGCTTCCCTAGAATAGTTTAAAAAGATTTGGCAGATGAAATATTTTATTTGACCAACCTTTGGCCCAATTATTCTTTGGCAGATAATAAACAACTTGCTTAAAGAATGTCTAGTCAAAATGCAAAGGATGGAAAAAACTATAAGTAGCATTGTGATGTAGTAACAATATGAGCCAAAAGAACATTCAAACTAATAACAAAAAACAAAATACAAGAAAGAAAGAACATAAGTTTACCTTGTTCTCTAGCTCAAAGATCATTATTTCATGATAAGAGCACATCAACCTGAATAAGACAGCTAGTGTTCTCAACAAACACTGCCTGAACTTAGATTCAGGTATCTGAAGGCATAGATCACTGTAGGTAAGTCTGGAATACATTGGAAGATTAAAGCATTATGAAAAGAAGAAAAGTACAGAAACTGCTAAAAATTCAATATAGGGAATGTTTAAAGTGAAAAGAAAATACCTGCTATTTTGCATTTGTACTTCTTGGTCCTGCAAAAGTTAATTAATCATCTAATTAAAGATGTTCTCCAATAAGAAAGTGGAAGCTACCATCAATAGAATTTCGATGATACTAAAGAAAAGAAATCATTTAACAAGAACTAACTGATCTGTCAGATACAACTTCAAACAACCTTAATGCATGGATGACATACTCTAAAGAGAAATAATCAAAAATACTGAGATTTTGAATTTAAAATACTAATTCACCTATTCATATCAATTTCCAATCCTTCAGAAAGTCAAGTTTACAGACTTGTAAATCTTAATTATCTCTACCTCTTGTACAATATTCTTCAACACAGAGTGAGTTTCCGATAGGACTTCCTGCATGAAGAAGCTTTGTATTTTTTCAGCTAGACCAGAGATATCTCCAATTAATGCATAAGCATCAACCACCTGTTGACATGATAATCTATTATTTTAATTGAGAAATTGAACAAGAGAACATTATTAAATTCTTATCATCAATTCACCACAAGACTAGTATGATAAGAGATGTAGAATTGATAAAAGCAGTAGAATTTCCACAAAAAAAAAAATAATAATAATAATAATATAACCTTAATCTAAAACAAAAATATCAGAAATTCGTCAAATTTTACAGTCCAAAGTGCTGATGCAATGAGTTGTTTCTTTATGGAGGCATCAACATGCAATAATGTATTGAGCAAGTTTTTGGCAATGAAGAAACAACATGTTCACAAGATTAGCATGATAGAAAAGACTATGCTAAGATGGACATAAGAAAATAAAAGGATTGGTAGAATAAAGAACGAATACGTTCTTATGAAGGTGAAAGTGATACTAATTGAGTAAAAATTGACAGAAGGAAGATTGAGATGGTCTGCACATGTGCATCATAGACCACAATACGCACTACAGAAGGTTTGAGGAAATTGATAGAAAATAAGAAAGTGAAGGGGCAGATATAGAACAGCTTAGCTCTAGAACTCTTCTGGATATATAAATCTAAACAAAGCACAATCACAAAACAGATCGGTGTGGCTGACTGAACATTTGGGATAAAAAATTTTATTGAGTTGAGTTTTCAATGTTGAATCAGTTTTTGGATTTGCTTTCCCCACCAAAAAGAATAGACTTTTTAACTCACACAAGATCCAAATTCAAGCCAAGTGATCCCTCTAACTCCAAGTCCATATCATACCTTAAATGCCAATAGCATGAATAAGTATGAACAAAAACACACAGCATGGTCAAGCAAGGACTTCCATCTTCTTCTTTGCTACAATGGTTAAAAGTAAAAAATATTCAATGAAAACAACGCATCTACAAAACCAACCTGAATACCACAAGACTATCATGCCACAAAAACAGAAAGCACAACCAGCCTCCTAAACAAAACCACCGCTCACCAAACAAAGTAGCCAACATCCCTTGGACAAAATCACTTGAACATAGAACCATTCATACAGCCCCAAAATCAACAAACTATTCCTTCCAGAGCTAACAATCTTGGGCTATACAAACTACAGAGCATAGTAGGTCATGAAAACACTTTAAAAAAAAAAAAGATAATAAATTGTATGGGGAAGTCCATAAAGACCATCAAACATAAAAGGGAATGTTACTTCTTGTGAGATCTTTAAGGATTTAAATCACTAATTATTCTCAACCAAACATTTAAGAGAAGGAAAAAAAAAAACATGTTGTTCACTTTTCTTTGGATCTTCAGGTCAAAGCAATACACTTGTGGAGATCCGTCCTTGGATTTCAATTAGCTAAGAAAGAGTGGAATTTTAGGCACTTTTTTTAGGGTATTGCTTCACAAGAGTGGGGAGAGATGCTTAAACCAGAAAGAAGTCCCCCTTTTTACTGAACAATGAGATTTTGGTGAAAAGATAAAGAGAAAAAGAGAGAAAAGTAATGATGGAGAAGAGGGGAAGAGGACCTTCCAACTGATGGAGGTCAATGGCGGGCCATCAAAAAGAGGAAGGAAGAGAATTCTGTAGAACTCTCTTCAAATGATGACTATAAAATGGATGAAAAGAAAAAAAGACATCTGTAATGGTTATGTACATTAACCACAAAATGTCGTACATCATTATTGGGGTGATTTTACAGGAATGAGAGAATATTCCAACTTCACCCGTTATTGCGTCAAAAACCTCAGGTTTTACCAAAACCTGCCATGAATCCATTCAAATTTTGGAAAACCTGTCCAATCAAAAGTGGGGAGAGATGGGATCTCTGAAGAACACATTCAAATTATCATCCCCAGAGAAAATAGATATAGTTTGTATTGTACCAAGTATAAGCTATCATTTTTCCCTGGGTCCAATTGTCAAAAAGTAAATGGATTAGCTCCCTTGTTTCCCAGAAATCTCTATTGCTGTTAGCAGCAGGATTTGGTCCTGAGTCTCTGCTATAATGCCAAGCGACTCTAGCAATTCTCCTCTTTTTTTTTTTTTTTTTTTTTTTAATGTTCCCATAAACTATCTCTATTGACTGTAGCGCAGCAGATTGGCCTGATCTCACTGCGCGCTTTTTTTTTTTTTTTTTTTTTTTTAAACCGATGGAAATTATGAATTATGCAACTAATTTCCCTAAATTGAAAAGACTATGCGAGGTCCTCATCTAAGATGATATATACATATCCATATATGTATATGCCAATATAAAAATAATAATTTCCAGAGAGTTACTACGGTATCATGAAAACAGAAAAGAAACATGCTTCATCTCATGAAACATATCAACCTAATATAAATAACAATAAATAAGTATGCTTAAAAATTGTAAATCAGAGAACCATTATATCTGCTCAATTTTGGGAAAAAAAATATTAATTTACAGAAAAAGACTGATATACTGACATTTATATAACCCTCCTCCTTGAACTCCTGACACACTTCTAATAAAAGTGAATCCAGCTTTTGAAGGGTTCTTCCCAGCCAAACCTGTATGATATTTAAGAAAATTAAAACAAAAGAAAAAGAAACGGAAGTAGCAGCTGCAGTTGTAACATCCTCTGTAAACCATGCAATGAATAAGCACTAAAAACACAAAAGACATATAATCCAATAATGGAATACAAGGGTGAATAATCAATACAGAAATGAAGTCCAAATTTTTCCTGATATAAGTTCTATTAAAAGTTAAAACTGTAAGCAGAAACAAATAATTATTCTTTTGGTTGTGATAAACGCATCTCAATTGAATATTCACCTCAACTCCACGGCTCATTTCCTGTATGGCTGAAAACTCAGAAAAACTATCTAATAGCTGCAAATACTCAGATAGGACTTGGAATGCCTGAGAGACAATGAGAGTTTAGTCGATTTCTTCAAAATGGAAGCAAAGTAACAAAACAGTAACACAATGGAAAAGGAGGAAACTAGAGAATCAAAGGTCGAGACACGGTAGAAAATGTTGGATCAGAAATAAACCCACCTTGCAGTAATTGCCTTCTTCAACTAAGGATTCAAGTGCTGCTTGCATGCAAAATGCATGATGAAGGTCAGACAATATTGGAAGCATGTCCTGAAATAGAAACAATGCCATGTATCTTTTCAACTGAGCATATTTATCAATATTCTAGACAAAAATGCTAAAGTCTAAATTTTCTTCCTGCCAGTCAAGTGACCATAATATTTTATGTTGGCTGCCATTAATTTTCCTCAAAAACCAAAAACCAAGGGGAACATAAAAGTTTATATTGTGTTCATATGGTATTCAGTATCCAGAAAGAGGGCATACCAACAGAGCTTGTTTCTTTTTGGAATTAGAATTTACAATGAGATCACTTGAGACCCTGTTCCTTGATGAAGTCAAGTGCCTTCTTCCGTTCTGGAAGCAACAGTGACAGCAATAATAAAAGGCAGATTGAGCAAGGAAAGTAGCACTTGCAATTTGAAGATGAAACTAAAAATGTCATTACTAACAAATAATAAAATAAAAGGAAATAGATACATTTCTTACATAATATTTTCCTTTAAACAGACTCTTTTAGCATCTAATAAAGACACCGTGCATATGCTTACCATGCAGATGACATTCGCTACCTTCAAGTCTTTCTCCAATTCCCTGACTAAATTCATCCCCTTCACTGGCCAAAAGCAAGTATAAAAATCTCATTCAAACGTAAGGAAACGTAGAATATTAACTCCATAATGAATTATGGGCACAACAGAAGAGTCAATGGAATTATGTTAAGGAGGACTTGAAGGCCCTTTTCTTGCCAACCACACAAAAAAAAAAAAAAAAAAAAAAAAAAAAAAAAAAAAAATATCCAAATACAAACAAAGTACTGACAAGTTCCTAAGGTTAGCAGAATAAAGCAACTCCCAACGCTATAAGCCCTTAATAGAATAAAAATCCCCCTGTGTGAGCACAGAATCACATATGGTTTTGTGTACTTAGCTGTTGAGTGTTGTAACTTGTGCACACCATAAACTACTACAAAACCAATATAACCAAAATGATTAAGGCAAACCGAAGTTTCACAATAATGATAACATCATTTCCATGGACTCATGGATGAAGATGTTTTTGACAATGGAAAAACAAGTTGACAACAAAAACAAACAAAAGAAAATCTGTCACAATAACTAAGGGTAAAATACATAATAACTCATCAAGCATATACAGGCAAAAGCATTAGTTGCTCAGAAATCTTCTTCATAATCATAGATTATGAGTATAAAAATACACAGCATATAAAGAAAAACACATTCTGGATTAAAATTTCAGAACTACATGAAATGTCATAAGAACCTACCCATTACTTCATGATGCTCCATCACTTGTTGGGATAAACGTTCTGCAACTCTATCCAGTTGTGCTAACCTAAGAGCAGCCTACAAGGAGAAGAACCCATGCTGATTGCAGTCAATCATACACATGAACATCTAGAGAAAAGAACGCCTTGTAAATAAAAAAATTCAAATAACATACTTGATACATAGTTTAATCAGGCAACAAGCATTGTAAGATGATCAACAATCACTTTCTTTATGTGTCACAAGGAATTCTACAAATTTGACCAAAAATATAAAAACTAATAAGAATAATAGAACAACATTTATTTATGAGATTATGGAAATCACCACTTGAGGCTTTTGAAAATATTCCACTTAACCACCAAGCTATATAAATGTGAAATACACTGCACCAAAAAATCAACTTCCATAGAAGTAACAAGGAGGTTGTACTACCATATAAGTAGGATTCCATCTGCATGAACTATTGCCACAAGGCATGCTATCAGCCTCTTATGGTATGCTCCAAAGTTCTGTTGACTGACAAATAATAATGGAAAATTTGATCCAACACGTTCACGATTATGGATTATATTCATATTGGCTGTTCCTGCGTGTATTGAACAATGGTGATGAATTATGTATTCTAAATAGTTGATGATAGTCTTTAGATACTTCCTTTATCAAGGTAAGGGTTTTCAATGAACTTAGTTCTCGAAAGGGTGAAAATTAAAGATCTAGTACTGAAGAGAAAGCAACCTGAGGCACCATCTGCTTATTGGAGCATTACATGTTGTAAACATAGCAAGTCCACTCTACCTTTCACAATAGGAGGTAGCTTGAAAACTTTTTATAATAGTCTTTAGATACTTCCTTTATCAAGGTAACGGTTTTGATTAATTTATAGTTCTCCAAAAGGTGAAAATTAAAGACCTAGTACAGAAGAGAAAGCATCCTGGAACACTATCTTCTTATTTGAGCATTACATGTTGTAAACATAGTAAGTTCACACTCCCTTTTACAATATGAGGTAGCTTGGACAATTTAGAATTTTCTCTCTAGTATCTTTTAGGAGCATTAGGTGGACCCAGAATTTTCTGAGACTCTTTTGGTTTAAACAAGAGGATTTCAGTGTAGAGATGCCAAAACTTCTTCGGAATTACATTCTTGTGTTCTGTTGGGGAGGATTATCAAAAACCAAATATTTATCTAACTTTGATAGCTTCTTTGTGGAATATGCTTCAGGAGATTTAAAGGAATATCTTTAAGTATTATTTAGCTTTATTGGAGCATGTTAGTTTGTTTCTATTTCTGCTCATAGTTGCAGGCATCAAAGGAGGATGCCTTATCCTTCATGTGTTTATCTCCTTTATTTCTCAATAAATATCTTGTTCTTAAAGAGTTCACTGCTATGGTAAAACTGAACATATTGCCACATGTCACGCTCGAAGTGCAAAAACCAAAATTTAAAAATAAGCATGAAGTAGCAGGAGTACTTCATGGAAATCCCAATTTGCCCATAACCTTGCTTTCACGTACCCATGTGCTCAAACATGTACAAACAGAAAAGACTTTTCTAATTCATGCAAAACATACACTGTAATTACCAGAAGCAATTGGACTTGAGAATCAAAATAGGGCATGCTGAAAAGAGGTAAAACTTTGAACTGCGTATGAAGTAGGAATACCTGTTTCTCTAAATACTCTAACTCATTTTCTTCAGATGGAATATTCTCTAAGATGTGTCTAATTGGATCAAAATCCTGCATAAAGAATGTACATAAATAGTTTAGTAAATAAACTCAAAACCTTTACACCTGAAAGAACTTTAGATGCAGAGGCAACTATGCATATTCTAAGTGAAGAAACTGACATGAAATTAACAGGTTTGACTTTAATGCAATAGGTTATATGTTCCCCTGTTTAAAAATTATTCAAAAAGAAAAGGTGAAATGGAAAAAGGATTTAATATTGAAAGAGAGAGAGAGAGAGAGAGAGAGAGAGAGAGAGAATTATTATAATCTTTATGCACTAACATTCTTAGACTTATAATATGAGGATTATATTGCCAATTTGGCATGATTGCCTTGAGAAATAAATAATCCCTCTCAAGCTGCAGAAAGACACATAAATCATTTACAAGATACAGCTATTCTGAGCAATAGAAGTTCATACAAAACTGGGTTTGGTTATAAATCCAATCAAAGAATCACAGCCTTAAAACTGAATCGAGTTGTTTCATTTATAAAAGCATGTTTCCTTATCCTTTTGAAGCACCTACAAATATCACCAATTAAACTCATATGTCATAATACTCTCTGAATTGCCCATACATACTAGCTACTTACTCTTATGTGTTCATCATCATTTTCAAATTACATAAACCAATGGCGGTTGACACAAGTCAATTATGGAGCACCTAACCTGATACAGCGAAACAATATGTGCTGTTGGAAAGATAAATATACTGATTTAATTGCTAATGAATAGACTGAAACATGGATTTTTCTTTAACAAACTACATCGCGCATACCAGATGAATCTGCAATAGTTGATGGATTTGGGTATTATTAGACATATAAACTTATGACACAAGGCTGCACGCGTAACAGAGAAAAGTACTGAAAGTCATTATAGTGCTCGAAGTCTTTTAGAGGTTTGCACATCTGAGCTACTTAGATTGATTCATCCTAATTGCAAGATAAGAAAGAATTGACGTAGGATTTATAAGGACTTGTTCTCCAATCTCAACAACGAGCTTTTGATGTATAGTTCTCCAAAGATTCATATCCATTGATGTCAGAGTCGTCCACTCATTTTCAGTTGCAATCCCGAGGCATTGGTGATGAAGTCAGAATTGCACTGTTTGTCCGAAACTACATAAGCTAGTGCATATCCAACCTACTTGGGCATTAGTGTTACAAAAGCATAGTGGAAGGTTATAATCCTAATTGGGTATGGGACTTGGATCCCATGTTGAAGATATAAAATTTTGATCCGGGATTATATGGACTTAGGCTCTACAACCTCAAAAGCTAGCTTTTGGGTGCAGTTCTCCCAATATTCATATCAGATTCTTTCAAAGATTCAAAGAACTTCCAAAAAAACTGTGTTATTTTGTATTATATAAAGAAAGAAAACAAGACACGTACTGATGTCACTTCAATATTTCTCAAAAAAAAAAAAAAAAAAAAAAAAAAAAAAAGCTACATGAAAAAATCAAAGCCAAATATAAATCACTGCAGATTTAAATCATGTACAGACCTCTTCATAGAAGTCCTGTTCTATTTCCTCCACATGAGAAGGTGATTTGCTTCCATATATCATGCGTAATCCTTCAGAGCTGGAAGGAAGATCGAATCGTTGATGAGGAGGCAGTCCAGCAAGAACACGAGCAACAGCTGCAGCAGCTGCAGCTCGAGCTGGAACCTATAAAAGGGAACATAAAAAAATTAAATTTCAATATTATTAACTCAAGTAGGTTTCAGTGAAACGGTTATGGCAATATCCAGGAGCATATGGACTTAAAAGATGCACCAATCAACATACCAAAAATCCTGGAAAGTAGAGATGGCAATTAGTAACAACATACAAACACAACATGATTCCAGCATTAAATTTAAGGACTTGATTTCATTCGATCATGTTGAACCATGTTGATACGGTTCATGAAACAACAATCTGGAAGTGCTTGCAAATTTATAGAGTTTATATTTAAGTAAACAATTTTTTGAATATATACTTCAAGAAAGCATTTGTCAGTGGCTTCTAAGTTTTAAGTCATCATGATAATTTTTTCCAAGGATTTTCAGAAAATGATGCTTTTTCACTTGAAATTTGTTTGATCACAAGACCAAAAATCAACAGCCATAGCAATCTCCGGGATCATATGGACTTAAAAGCTGCACCAGTCAACATATTAAAAATCCCTCAAAGTAGAGGTAGCAATTAGTGACAACATGCAAACACAACACGAATCCAGCGTTAAAAATCGATATGGTTTATGAAACAACAAAGCTGAAGTGCTTACAGATTTTATTTTGTTTGTATTTAATGGAGCAGTTCTTTGAATGCATACTTCAAGAAAGCATTTGTCACTGGCTTCTAAGTTTTAAACTATCATGATAATTTGCTCTAAGAATTTTCGGAAAAAATTATGCTTTTTCACTTGAAATTGGTTGATCACAAGACCTACACTTTCAACTGAAAGAAACTTCACAGAAATTACCTTAGATATAATTCTTCCTGATATCTAACATGTTCTAAGAAAGCCAATATATTTCTTTTGGTACAAATTTCTTTGAAACTGATCCAGGGAAAATAGCTAACTATAATATTATCCAGTCTTTATTTGGAAAACCTATGATGCATCAAATATAACTTATACAAATATAGGCTTAGAACTCACAAGTATGCAAATGAAAATCACCAACATCCCTCTATTGCTGCATAATATTCAAGTCAACTAAGCTTTAGTACCAAATTATTTGGGGGTCAGAGCTATAGATCCTTTTTCTTCATTCCACTCAATTTAGTGCTACACATTCATAAAAATGTAGAACCATAAATCTTTTCCTAGTATTCCCCTCCTCTCCCTCCCCCCTTCAAATGTCAGCCTCACTTTCCTAACTCCTAAGACTTGAATGTGATCAACCTTCATCACCCATGCATTTGTTAGCTTACTCCTTCTTCAATCCTATACTTAGAATCCTCTTCACTTCCTCCATCTCTTTGCATGATAGATTCTGGACATTTGGACTACAAGTGTTGGGGAACCACTACACCACTGAACTAATCCCACTTTCAGCACTTCCCTTCCATTGTTAAAACATCAGCTAATCCAAACATAAAGTTTCCTCCCCGAGATCATTTTGCTAAATTAATCTAATTCACTAAATTCTACTAGAAACAACAGGCTTCTATTAGTCACTAAATTAATCAAATTCCATTAAGATTTATAATAAATACCAAAACCCTCTAACCTACTCCTCCATTTCCTTTAAGATTTAATAATGGAAGAGAATAAAAGAATATAACTCAAAATTAAAACTATTGAAAAAGGACAATCAATCCTATTATATCTCCATAATCGTGTTCTCAACTTAACGAAGTTCTAAGAGTTCAATCAGACAGCACTGGATTCCATTGAGACCAAAAAAAAATATTGCAGCACTTTTATAGCTCATAAAAAGAATCCCCTCAAAATCCAACTACATTTCACGCAACAGTGAATTTACCTCAGGCCGATCAGTTGACGGCAAGAGACCAAGCGATCTAGCAGAACGTACGGAGTTGAAAATCTTCTCTCCAACCTTAGACAAATCCATTCCACCTCCTTGGAACAATAAAAAAGGGACCAAGAAGAAAACCCTAGAGCTCTCGAATCCACCAACACCGACACCACCTTCGGTTAAATCACCATTGAAGAGAAAGGGATTGCCTAAAACGGTACCGAACGGGAAGAGATTCGGCTGCATTTCAGCTCAAGACAGCGAAATCAAGCCCCATTTGAGGAAAAAGATAAGGCACTGTTATTTCTTCGATTACAGATCAGATGTAATTGTTTTTGTTACTGTGTTGAAGTGTTGTTGCTATGGAGGTTTTGGGATCGGAGAAGTGGAAATTTGTTTGTTTTTGATAACGATTAGGATGTGTTTGGTGGAATTTTTTGGGTTGTTAATTTTACTAGCTATGCTTTGGCGCTGTCACTGACTTGACTTTTTTAGAGTTGAACACAAGATAGTGAAAATAAAAGTATTGTGTGTAATTCTGTTTTTTGGTTTCAGTTTTGTTTGTGGGCTTGACTTGAATTGTAAACTTGCTTGATTTAAGGTTCTAAAAGCCCATACCAAAAATGAAATATTATTTACGGGTGTTTTCAAACTTGTTTTTTCAATTACTACTACATTCATTTTCTCTTTATTCAGTGAAATTTTTCATTTTGGATGTTATTTTGATATAGAGAATTTTACTTGAAATAAAAACTTTAGAAATGATGCAATTAATGAAAATCTAAAATGCCTTCATTTGATTTTTGAGTATGTACGGCTAGAGAGAGAGTGTGGCAAATAAAAGAAAAGGTTGAACATTTAACACCCTTATGTTTTCAAAGCAAAATAAAATGACTATTTTATCATAAAATTGTTAACTATTAAAGAGTTAACAAATGTGTTCATATTAAAAAAATATTGAACAAAAATCTATGCTGCCTATAGCAGTATAAATCGTTTAAATGTGTTTTATTTGAAAATGTATGCTCATTTTATTATATCTATAACCAATATTATATTTTTGTTATATAGTATGATTTCTCCATCTTTAATCATTTTGTGCACACGTGAGAGAGATGGACCCAATTCGTCTACTAATGAATGAATTGATGTGTAACGTCTAATAATAAATTATTTTATCATTTTATATGAGAATTGAACTCTTTTTTTACCCCTATCTTACAAATATTTCATGATAATGGAGTTATTCTTTAGACGATGCTTTGCATTTTACTAGATTTTATGAATTATCTTCACATAAATTTTGAATGTGGCCGCAATTTTTTTATAATTGTGCGCATTTAAGTTACCTTGCTACATCTTGGCCAAAAGCACAGTGATTACATAATGTTTAACATCGTCAGAAGTGTTTGCCTTCCTGTTATCTATAACAACATTTTAAGATTGACTAGCGTCAACAATAACCATAGCACCTTCTTCATCATCAGGTAAGTAGTTCAAGTTTGGTAATTCAAAAGTAGTAAGTGTATTTTCAGAATATGTGCGCGAATTAGTTAAAATGTCGTTGAGGTCAAATAAAAATGGTGGATTCATAATATCTATGACCATTGCCCTTATTTTCAAAAATTTTACAAATGCAATTACATATTTTAGGTCTGATCGGAATTTATACGTAGCCAGCTTGTAAAGTTGAGGAAACAATTGTAGTAACCAAAAATTTTGGCTTTACAATTTTGTTAAATTTGGACACATGTTATTGGAATCACTAAATAGTTGATGTAAATAAGGGAAAATAAAATTTTTTTAAACGGTAAAAATCAAATTTGAAACCTTTGAATTCTTAAAACAATTACTTCATTTCTTAAATGTTTTACCTATTTTCAGACATTAATTATTACATAAATGCACCGTTGGTACTCTCTCTTTGTGAGTTGGCTCCCTCACAGTTAATGGAGCACTTAATGCAAATTAGGAGTATATTATGCAAAAAATAGGAAAAAAAATTCAGTTTAACCATCACCTTAATCCCTATGCATTTTATGTTTTCTTCATATAAAGAGAATAGAGGGAGTATAAGTTAAAAAAATGATAAAATGCTAATTTAGAAAGAAATATATATAATTTAGCTAATTGCACTCTATAACAATAATCAAAATAAATAGCCAAATAACTAGGAAGGACACGACCCCTCTTTGCAATATGAGAAGTAATTATTATAATAATAAAAAAAAAACATAACATAATTTGCCAATGTATAAAAAAATCTAATGAAAAATGGATGAGGGGTTTAAAAAACATATAGATCTTTATAATAATTGAATAGGTAAAATTTTTGTATCTTTCATATATAGCATAATTATACATGAACCGCTTACTAATGAATAGTGCAGAATTTGAAATCTATATTCAATGAAGGAATAAGTTATATTACCAAACTCTGAAATACGAAAAATATCATCTATAAAACTAATGCACCACGAATTGTACATCTGAGCAAAGTGCTTACAATCTTATTAAAACATAAGATTACGTGCCTCCTCCGACAAATGCTTAACCAATGACTATGAGAATAGTTTTAGTATATATAATATTGACCCACATTTATCTTTTTTGTTTAACCCATTTTCAAATATGGAGGAATATGCATTGTCGTTTTCAATAATTCATTAAAGGGATATTCTGTTTAGTGAATGGGAAGTAGCACAGTGACAATGTCAATCCTATAAAGGTTGGAGCTAAATAGAACCTTCTCCACAGAAAAGGAGAAAACAGGTTGCTACTATGATATTTCCTATCCTATCAAATGATATGGGTATGTGCCATTTTCCTTGAGCATAGGATAACCATTATCTGAAGATGATTAAAGGTCCACATCATCAATTAAAAAAAAAAAAAAAAGAAAAAGAGAAAAAGATCCGTTCAGACTGTAAAGAAAAAAGGGGGCAAAAAAGTCTTTTGAATGAATAATGAGTCCCTCTCCTCACCTTACCTACTTAGCATTCATCTTCTCAATAACATGTCAATATCATTACTTGTTAGTCTTAAGAGAGCAAAGTTCTTGTGATTTTGATGGCTTGCTTTTCATTTAAAGTAAATAAAAAATAAAAAGAAAAATGATATTGGAAAAAATTAGTTATAGAAAATTAATTAATTGTGAATTGATTTTTTTATTAGGAAATGAAGGAATTGAGTTCATATATTTTATTTATCTTGTATGCATTTATTGCTCGACTAAATTTGTGTGTGAAATTGAAATCAATTAAATAATTTTAAAAATTAATTTCATAACTAATTCTAAAAAGTATATTTACTTTTTTATCATATTAATTATTATTATTGATTATTAAAGTTAAATCATAACAAATTGATTTATTATTTCTGTTTATGAATTTATTGGACGAAACAAAGAGATGTACTCAGTATCCTATAGATTTATGAGAGCATCTCAGTATTAAATAAAAGATATTAAAATTATTATTAACTAGGCGATCCTCCGTACCTCACACGGCTATATAATAATTATATGTACTTAAAATCTATACAATCTCACTTTTTAAAGGAAGTGTCACGACATATAATGATATAATGTTATATAATGAAGTGTATACAATCTATATTTCAAAATCTAATAAAATATCTTTTGCACAAAAAAAAAAAAAAAAAAAAAAAAAAAAAAACCTACCTAGAAATAAGAAATTTTTAGAATGTTTATATATGTATTATTTTATTTATAATCTATTAGATGCAAGCAAATAAATGAACTCAGTATTTAATTAATTGATGATATCAAAAAAAAAAAAAAAAAAAACTACCTAGAATAAGATTTTTAAGAAGTTATATATGTATTATTTTATTTATAAATCTATTAGATGAAGCAAATAAATGAACTCAGTATTTAATTAATTGATGATATCATCTCAGTATTAAATAAGAAAATAAATAAAATTATTAATTAAAGTATATAGTTGATTTTTACAAAAAAAAACTAAAGTATATAGTTTGATATGATTTTAAATTATGACATCAGGATCTTTCAACATCTAAATGCCTTTTGCTTAAAAAAAATAGTACCTATCATGAGATATTTTAAAAGTTTATCATTTTTTTATATGTACATGTAAATATTCAATTATTTAAAGATGTATTTTGAATTATTGAATTATCAGTTCAGATAAAATAATAGTAATTTAATAAAAATATATTGCATATATGGAAAGGTACCTTTTGCCAAACTAAACTAGAGCACCATGACTGATAACTACAATTCCTACCTCTCCAATGCACTTTTGCAAGCATAGAAAATAGAAGTTGTTAGGTTAACCTCCTTTTTTTGTATTTTTATTTTTATTAATCAGACTTCTCCTTAAATTAATTGGTATTAGAACCTTTTTATAAGTACAAAATGTCAAGTTTCAATTCTCAATTAAAGTTAAATAAAAGCTTCATTTATTTTTAGAAAATAAATTATTTTTAAAAACAATTTATAAACAATTTATTTTTTGTAATTGTAATACTAAAAATTATTGAAATAAAATTTATAAAATATAAGAATATAATAATATTTAGAGTTATGAAATCTCATATTTTAAATATATATTAGTTTTTTTTTTTGAAACTTAACAATTAATTAATATAAGTTGAGTATGTTATAATATTCTTCTAGGAATAAAAAAAATACAAATATAGAAAATTGAAATATTCTGTTTAGAAATGTTATTGATCTTGACAGAAGAACTTAATCTTCTGGATAAAAACTGATATATTTTCAAATATGATGACAAAAGAAATCTTGAATAATATTGTTCTAAACATTGTTTTCTCTCGGAAATTTGTTACAACCGACACCGGCATAAGAGTTTAATATACCAAACTTTAATGGAGGAACATGTCACACTACCATGCTCCATTGGTAAAAAAAACTTACTTGAATTTAAAAATTCGAAGTCTCCAACCACAAGCAACCAACAATTCATTTTGTATTTTGAACTATCAAATAAATAAAAGATCAACATAAAAACTCTTCAATAACAATGAACAACTCCATAAAATAAGAGAAATTAACAATCCCACCAAGAGGGTACTAAAAACACTTAAAATCTACCAATTATTGCAGATTTGAAAGTCTAAATCTAAATTTTATTCCAAACGATCATATGTTTGGAAATTATTAAAAATAAATAAAAAAAATAAAGAAAAATGATAGAGAAACGAAAAGAAAATCACCATCGACTAAAGAAAACGGTCGACGGTAGTTTAGAAATAAAATTTAAAAGAACACAGAAAAGAGAGAGAAATATATATCGGTAAATATGAGAAAAATACATAAAAATATTAAATTATAGTAGTCACTTATAACTAGCATTGATTTAAATGTGTATTTATAAAATTATAATAAATTCATCATTATTCGAAAAATGTATTTCTCCTATGAAAATGAAAGTTACTATCATTTAGTTACACCTTAAAATGACTTAATTTTCTCCCCAGCTTGAAAAAATATGTTCAATTGACTAACTTTTCACATCACCCCAAATTAGAAATTTAATAAATAATTTTTAGATAAATTATTTCACAGAAATAAATGAATCGTGGTTAACACTTGATATTCTTTTGACACCGAACCATTTTTGTATAAAAAATAGTAAAAATAAAATTGAATGAATATTTTGAATTGATGGAATGAGAAATACATGGATTGTATGATGTAAAAATTTGTAGCTTGTAAAAAAACAAAAAGAGAAAAATTCACATTTCAGCGTTTAATTGAAAAAACAAAGTCCATAAATTTAAAATGTATTCTGAAATTAAATTGAATGATTTAATTTTTCTCATTATAAAATCACAAATCATAACATGTTTTTAAATTTTTTATTACTCAGATTTTCATGATCCTATTTTTTCTTGATTAAATACAAGAATCTAAGTGATGACTGTGATGAATCGTGAATGAAAAATACTTATTTAAAGATAAATTTTATACCAAAAAACAAGGGATTAAATTAAATGGCCCAATCAAATCAAAGGAAGCAGAACCAGAACCACCCTAAGACAGTATTTAAATTAACAGTAGACAAGTGTCCCTTCGCTTGTCATCACTCTTTTGTTGCTTTGTTAATTAATAATTAAACAACCGTTTTTAACCAAACCACTCTCCTACAATCATCCACTTAGCCCACAACCCAAACAAACAGATCTCTGTCTTTCCTTTCCTTCGTAATAACGAATCGCACAATTCTCCAGATGGCTCCGATTCCGTCGGAGAACGGCGTCGACGGAGACGACGAGCGGGAAGAGGAAGATGAAGAAGAAGAAGAGGAGGAAGAGGAGGAGGAGGAGGAGGAGGAGGAAGAGCCGAGGCTAAAGTACCAGAGAATGGGAGGTAGTATACCGACGTTACTATCAAATGATGCGGCGTCGTGTATTGCGGTTGCAGAACGGATGATCGCGCTTGGGACACTGGACGGCACCGTTCATATTCTTGATTTCCTTGGTAACCAGGTGAGCAATGATTGAGCTGAGAACTCGCTGAATTGAAGCTTTTTGGATCTGAATTTGGATTGGAATTTTATTGTTTTGAGTAATTCAGCTAATATTTAGGGATTTTTTTTGGGTATAATTTGCTTTTTGTACTATTACATATTTTTAGTATCCATTAAAGTTCTAAAAATTTTGTTCACCCGTTTCATTCTCCAGCTTAATTATTAGTATGTGAAAGCAAGTAATTTTCCATTTTCTTTTATCGTTTCTATTTAAAAATTTTAACCTTATCTTCAATGATGCTATTTTAGCTCATGAATCTAAATTGTTTGAGAAGGTTGAAAAGCAAAGTTTTATTGGTTCAGATAATAGGGAACATTGAAAATCGAGAGTCAGATCAACATTAGCTTCTGCAGCTACTGTTTTTCTTTTTTTCTTTTTGGTGGTTTACTAAGCAGTACATTGCACATAGACATAGTATAAGCTTGCCTTTTTTCCCCCTTTATGCATCCATGTTGTCAAGTCAATTGTCGGTTTTCCTCTGCAAGTTTTTGTTGTAAATGTGAAATATTTTCAAATTTGAGTGCAAGAACTCATTATTGTCTACAGATGAGTTACGCCATTCCTTTTTTTTTTTTCTTATTTGTTGCTTGGGGGAGAGTTGAGGGCACAATAAGGTCAACTGTCTACCTACAGATGTGTGAATCACTTTGGGGTATTGAGAATGGTATGCTAATAATTTCTAGGCTAATATACTAGGGCTATGGGATGGTTTATATTTGATAATTGTTACAACATTTTTTATGGTCCAAACTTTCTGTATGTCTGAGCTATGTTCTCAATTTATTCATTTTCAGGTTAAGGAATTTGCTGCCCATACCGCTGCTGTCAATGATCTCAGCTTTGATATAGAAGGTGAATATATAGGTAGTTGTTCAGATGATGGATCTGTTGTAATACATAGCCTTTTCACTGATGAGAAAATGAAGTTTGACTATCATCGACCAATGAAGGCCATTGCTTTGGACCCTGAATATTCTAGAAAAACATCTAGAAGATTTGTAGCTGGTGGTTTAGCAGGCCATTTGTATTTTAATTCAAAGAAATGGCTGGGATACCGAGATCAGGTTTGGACAGGTTTTCTATTGTTGATACCATATTTATGAATTGTCTCATTAAGTTTTCAGTTCTTAATAATACAAATTAATATACTTTTTTTTAGGTTTTGCACTCTGGTGAAGGTCCAATACATACTGTAAAGTGGAGAACTAGTCTCATTGCTTGGGCTAATGATGCAGGCGTGAAAGTTTATGATGCTGCCAATGATCAGCGAATAACATTTATTGAGAGACCACGAGGAAGTCCACGCCCTGAACTTTTGCTTCCTCACTTAGTTTGGCAGGTTAATCAAACCACTGGTGGCTATACTAGTCCAGACAGTTTCAACAACCTTTCTTCATCATTTCTATTTATCTTGTTTCTCTTTTGTACTTTTATGATTTCAAAATTAACATGAGCATGTTGTTTCTGAAATATGTGCTTTTTCTTGGTTCCCTTGTATCACATTCAGGATGATTCTCTCTTGGTTATTGGCTGGGGAACATCCGTGAAAATTGCATTAATAAGAACAAATGCGTACAAAGGAACAAATGGGACGTATAGTCACCTCCCGATGGCTAGTATGAACAAGGTGGATATTGTGGCATCTTTCCAAACCAGCTATTATATTTCAGGAATTGCTCCCTTTGGTGATTCTTTGGTTGTTCTAGCTTATATTCCTGGAGAAGATGATGGAGAGAAGGAATTTAGTAGTACCATTCCATCAAGACAGGTACTTTCTCCTCCATGTTGAATGAAACACATTAATTGTGACTCATACAATTATGTAGCTATATTCTGTTTAGGTAGCTATGTTAAATGCACAATGTGTTGCAGTAAAATGTTGGTGAACCATATTTCTCCTACAAATCTGATAAATGAAGTAAGATTTTTGAATGACTAAAATGAGAAAGGATAATTGTTAAAAAGTTTGTGAGTTTTTACATGAAAACAATTTAGTCTTTATTGTTTTTAAAGTGTGTGTTGATTTCCCATAGTTCGGTAATGACACAACATTTTAATTCCCACAATAAAACTTTTATCACATTTTAGTCCTTAGTTTCAAGAATCCACTTTGGTGCAAAAGAAATTCTATTACATTTTGTCTACTCTCTTTGTACAAATAAGGTTGTAGCCTTCTTTTTAAACACAGTTAACAAAATATATTGTGCCAACTCATATCTAATACATCATTCTTCCCTTTATGCCCTTACATATTCTTTACGTCAGAGTAAATAAACTCTTTAAATTGAAGAACTAATAAGGGAATAATGGGAAAATTAGCTCTAAAAATTTTTCACTTTGCAGAAATGAGTGTGTATTTTGGGACTTCCAAAAAATGAATGGTGGACAATATTATAATTTCATGAAATAGTTTAGCCTCTTGAAATTTTATGTGTTAATTAAAAAATATATATAAATACGTATATTTTTGAAAAAAGTGTGTATTAATTATTATTATTATTATTATTATCATTATTATTATTATTAATTTTTTTTTGCAAAACTAGGCACTTCATACAACAACGATTAAGCTTTTTATCCTAAATTAGTTGATGGTGGAATAACTTTCCTTTGTGTAGTTTTAAGTCTACCTATTTCTCTTTTAATACTTTCTACTATTAAAATATTGCACTTAAGGACGGTGCACTTGGAGGTCTGTGTAAGACATAGCCAAACCAATGTCCTTCCTCATTTTATCCCCAATGTGCATGACTTTTACTGTTTGTCTCATGTGATAATTTCTTATCCTGTCCAATCATGTATGACTACACATCTATCTTAACTTACCATTTCTGCAACATTCATCTTGTGAATTTTGGCTCTTAGGAGGTTCACATCACTCCTATAAAACATTTCTTGTTTCACTGTCATTCTATAGGACTTGTCTTTTGCTTTGTTAGATATCTTCTTATTGCATGGCAAACCTATAGCTCTCCTCCATTTTTGTAATTGCCCTAAAAAGGGGTGAGTAATCGTGAAAATGATTAGTTTGTTAACATATTTGTGTTGTTAAAATGAAATTATTTTTCAACTAAAATTTATGAATAAAAATTTAAATTGTATAAATATTATTGAGATGTGTATAGGAAATATTAAATGTAGCAAATTTAAAAATCAATTTGAGAATTTTTTTTTTTTTTTTTTTTTTTTGCAAATTTAAAAATCAATTGAGAATTTTTTTTTTTTTTTTTTTTTTTTGGAAGCTGTTATCTGCACCGGTGTAGTCTAAATCCCCAAGTTGCATGGATGTCATAATTGAAAAATCACCATCACGTAGTGAAGATATGCCAGTTTGCTGACTTGTTCTACTTATTTGAAGCAGGGGTAATGCACAGAGACCGATTTTTTTTTTTTTTTTTTTTTTGGAAGGATGTATATCTGCACCGTGTAGTCTAAATCCCAAGTCTGCCATTGGATGTCATAATTAAAAATCACCATCACGTAGTGAAGATATGCCATGTTTGCTGACTTGTTCTACTTATTTTAAGCAGGGTAATGCACAGAGACCAGAAGTACGTATAGTTACGTGGACTAATGATGAACTTGCAACAGATGCCCTACCTGTGCATGGGTTTGAGCATTACAAGGCAAAGGACTATTCCCTTGCTCATTCTCCATTCTCAGGTTAACATATTTGCATATGAAGTTTGTGACTTTTGTAATGTTCTATGACCTACATCTAAATAGTTATGATTTTCCTTTCATGTGTGAATATACTAACGTAGGGAGCAGCTATGCTGGTGGTCAGTGGGCTGCCGGTGATGAACCATTATACTATATTGTATCCCCAAAGGATGTTGTTATTGCAAAACCGAGGTTAGTGTTGATGTCCCTTGGATTTTAGCTTTAAAATAGAAGGATGTATTTCTTGACATTAATTGCATTTCAAGCACTTAGAACCTGTGGCGTAGGTAAAGTTTGATGCTTGGATTGTAGTCTAAAAGTAATTAACTATCTTCTTTCTCGAAATTATTTTGTTGTAGATTCTTATCCAGAATTGAATTTTGAATTATAACCAAAAGAGATGTCTTTGTTTTACATATTAAGACCAATTATCTTAGTTCTTCAAATCATCAGCTTACATTTTCTTTGCACCCTTCTAAGTTGACTAAACATGACATACGAACTCATGTACCTCGTTCGATTGCTGAGTTTTTTTATTAATATTAGCATGGTCGTCGTCGTCATCTTCGTTGTTATTATTATCCTTAATTACCTCTGCAGTGCGTTTATTTTTTTGAATTGGTCTGTACAGCATGTATGTTATGTATTTATTTTGGCTTACACTTGAATGAATGATGTCCTGATTAATGGTAAGCTAGTATAATTTTCACTTTTGATTTATGATAATAAATTGGGGTATTGCATTATCTCTTGAATGCCTACTTGATGCTGGAGCAGAAGTCTAGGATTTTCTAGTGTTACTGTTCACTCAACTGTAGTATTTATCAAATTTAAATTTGGGATTATGGAATCTTTCTGTTATTTTGGTGAAAACCTGATTCTATAACCATTTTGTTAAATCTTTCTGTTATTTCATTAAGTTTTATGTCTTAGACCTACTTCTATTTGGATTTATGTTTAAAACCTTATTCTAGTTGGATTATATGCTAAAGCAATAACGTTCTGTCTAGTGGCAGATATTTTTGAGTAATTAAGGAGTTCATTGCTAGTTTGTTTCCCTGGTTGTGTCATGGGAAAATCCAGCCTTATCGTTGAATTATGATCTACTAGTCTCTCTTTCTAATGTTATTTTGTCAAATCTAAAACCTAATGTTGGGTTGGGGTTATTTGCTACACTAATTGTGGTTCATTACTAACTTCTTCACATTTTTAAGATTTTGTACTCATTTGTTGATAAAAAACTTAAGAACATTGGACAGAAATGATTGCAACATCATTTTTGGTGATGATGACTGAATAGTGGGAACTTGGTGGAACTGGAGAACCCTATTGGTAAATAATATAATTTTTTCGTCACTTTCTGTTTTACTTTTTAATACTCGAGATAGATTTAATAGCAGCATACCATGGAAAATCAATGAGATGGATGTATAGTTGGCTGTGGCATTAATCCATAGTATTCATATTGATTTCTTATATGTAAGAATATCTAGAGTAGAACCAAAAATGAATGAATTCTTTTATTACCATAAAGTTTCTATTTCTTGAGATTTAACCAGTAATATTTCTTTTTAACAATTGAGTGGCGTGTGAAATTTCACTGAGCTTTAATGCAATTGGTTGAGTTTGAAGTTATAAGTGATGCTGAAGTGAGATCCAATGGTCCTCTAAACAGAATTTTTAATTGTTAGGGATGCTGAAGATCATATTGCATGGCTTCTACAACATGGTTGGCATGAAAAAGCTTTAGCAGCAGTTGAAGCGGGTCAGGCTCGAAGTGAACTTCTTGATGAGGTACATATTTCCCCCTTCTGTATGTGAGCTGGGCCACAGGTCTTATTTGTGAAGAAAAGTGCAGGCTGAGTCTGTGAAAAAGAATGTCCTTTTCCAAGCCCCGGCCAAGTCGATAAACGTGCTGAAGTATAGAGCTCTTTTTGTTTCTTCCTACGGGTGCTATATGCATAGAGTTTTTTTTTCCCCTCCACGAGCATACATGCAAGTTTGGACATACTAGTTGATGTTAGAGATTGTTATGACTCATGAGCTGAGCTTTATCAAAGCTGAGGCTTGAGGTCCCAGGCTGTGTTAGGCTCAAAGGCATGATCCTGAACCTGGCCCTACAGAAAAACAAAAGGCCTGAAGTGGGCTGAAAATTTTAAGAACTTTATATTTTTACTGAGAATTATTTGTTTAATATAATTGATATATTAAAATACATTAAGCAATACACATTCTACAAATACATAGGATAATATCTTATAATAGAATTAGAATGAATATACCATAATAATCATGTCCTATATATTTTAATATATGTTGAATGAAAACATATAACTTTTTCGGTTAGGCAGGCTCAGTTCCAAACTATTTGATAAGAGACTTGGACGAGGCTTGAAACTTAGGGCCTTACTATACTCTTTAGGCCAGAATTTTGGGCTTAATGTTAATTTTCCAGGTTGGGTTGGGCTAGCCCATTTTCACCTCTTGTTAAAAAATGTAGGGTTGATTGAGAGCGTTGTCCTAATGGTTGTGTTTACCTAAGGAGTCATATCTTTTTTGGTTTAGCTCTATCTGAGGTCATAACTATTAAGAAAACTAAAGCTATTCCTGGTCACTACAGGAGGTAACTTGTTAACGAGAAGATTGATGGTACTTCAGTGGTACTGCATGAATAGAGAGGGTGGTAGGACAATAACCTTATTTTGTTGTTTAGTTGCAAGGCAGTATGAATGGCATTCTGTTCTTTCTGTCCTTGAATTGGTTGCATGGTAGGAAAGTTCTTGACGGGTTGGCTAGTGGGGAAAGTCCAGAAGTAGTAGAGGCATCATACATAGTGTGTTTCCTTCATGTCTGTTGAGATATATTTGAGGTTGGAGAGTTTGTGAAATGTTGATTGAGTAGAACATTCAGTCATGGAGCTAAAGTGTAGGCTATTGTCCAACTTAAATTTTATGGCTGCTTGCCCACGTTAAAAAATTTTGATCATCGTGTTTCATCCATTCCTAGGCTATTTTTGTTTCCTTCTAGTGTAAATTGGCTGCAACTATTGTAATAATATAATTCTTGGCATAATTAAGTGAATTCTAAAAAGAAAATAAGATTCATTGGATTGAGAGAATAATATAGCCATTCAATTTTATTGGTGACAAGTGACAACATAGTGCAATATCACAAACCTTCGAGATGCATGAAAATGCTTGTGTTCTCAGCTATGTGCTATTATTTGTTTCCATGATTATGTTTTAAATAGTGTTCTTCCAGTCGGTGTATTTAAGATATGCTTATCCTGTTCTTTGTCCTCATTGCAAATAGCAATGTTCCTCCTTTCTTCCTTCTATATATCTCTCGTTTCTCTCTTAGTAAAATGTCAATATTCTGTTGTTTGAAATGGAAATATATCCTTATATCAAGCTTTCCTCTTTCTAACTCAGAGTTTGTGTTATTTTTATCTGCATAATATCCCAATTGGATTTTTTATGTGCTCAGGTTGGATCTAGGTATCTCGATCATTTGATTGTGGAAAGGAAATATGCTGAAGCTGCATCTTTGTGTCCCAAATTGTTACAAGGGTCTGCTTCAGCATGGGAAAGGTAAATGAAGCAACTATCACTAAAAATTCTCATATCCTTGCTTAACTGACTGACCATGTGCTGCCCTTTTTGAAGGTGGGTTTTCCATTTTGCTCATCTTCGTCAGCTACCTGTACTGGTCCCGTACATACCAACGGAAAACCCAAGACTGAGAGATACTGCTTATGAGGTTTGTAGAAAAGATGCGTTTGTTAGTTCCAACCTTTTATGATATGCCAGCTTGGGATCAAGATACATTGTTTCAATGTTACAGGTTGCTCTTGTTGCACTAGCAACAAATTCATCTTTCCATAAGGATCTTTTGTCAACTGTTAAATCCTGGCCACCTGTGATTTATTCTGCATTACCTGTCATATCTGCTATAGAACCTCAGCTAAACACCTCTTCCATGACTGATGCACTTAAGGAGGTTAGATATAGAGTTTGTGCATGTAATTTATAATTAAAAAAACTTTCAACTGTGGCATGTCTTTAACGATAGTATGCCTTTATATCAGGCACTAGCAGAATTATATGTAATTGATGGGCAATATGAGAAAGCTTGTACACTTTATGCTGATGTAAGTATTTTGTTCCACACTTGTGTTACCATAAATTTATGTCTAGATAAAATGTTTCAGAAAAACACATTTGTGGATCAATTTTATCATGCTAACATAACTTTTTTTTTTTTTTGGTGGTTTACTGATTTCCAGCTTATGAAGCCAGATATATTTGAATTCATTGAAAAACATAACTTACATGAGGCTACTCGTGAGAAGGTATGGTTGTGCAAAATAAGTTGAAATGCTGATTATTGGGCTTTCTATAGCTTCTGCAGTTCTGTTACCACTGTATTCACTTCGATGCTTGAAAGTTTACATTCTAAAGAGGGCAGAATAAATGAATTTGTTTGCCTAATAATTCTCATGTCAAAATTTCCCCTCCTATTTCTGTGCTTGTACAGGTTGCCCAATTGATGATGCTTGATAGCAAGCGTGCGGTACCTCTATTGATCCAAAACAAGGACTTAATTCCTCCAGCTGAAGTTGTCTCGCAACTGTTGGCTGCCAGAAATAAATGTGATTCAAGATATTACTTGCATTTATATCTGCATGCGCTATTTGAGGCAAATCCACATGCTGGAAAGGACTTTCATGATATGCAGGTATGGAGAAGGCTGTAATTTTTGGATTGTAAATATTGCCTTGATATCATAGATTTAGTTTTGCTTCTTTGCTTGAAATACTAGCAAATAAGGATATGGGTCAGGTTATCATGTAAAACATGCATAATAGATTTACTAAACATGTCATGTTGGTTTGACATGGCAAAGCCCGTTAGAAGGATATATTCAATGTTTAATTCTTGTAGGAAGATTAATGTATGGCACAACACAATTATCTTGTGTTAAACTTGTGTCAATGTGATTTTGACAGGAGCAAAATTATGGCATACTGCATGCTTAAATTTACAATTATTTTTTTCCATGGATAAAAGTTATGGTCAGGCACCGTGTCTTTTGTTGTCATCCCTTGTTGATGGAGCTACATTGTCTGCTGATTTTGACATGTTTCCCCGCATGCTATCAACTCAATCTATAGTACAAATTTGAAAACTGTGTGGACCCAATTTCTTGTGTGTGTTTGTGTGCGTGTGTGTGTGTGTGTTTTCTTTTTCCGCCTGGACTCCCTTTTGCTAAACTTTGGTTTTACTTTATTTTATCTGTCGTGTAGCTTATGAATATTCCTTTCTTGGTTAAGAACAACTGGCAGGATTCCTTTTTGTTGATATTTGGTTTCCATATTTGTCTAGTTAATGCTTGGGGCAATAACTAGACACAAGCATCTCAGCTGCCAAGAATAACGATAAATGCATTGATATAGCAATACCTGATGCTGGCATATATTTTATTGTGACAGGTAGAGCTTTATGCAGATTATGATCCGAAGATGCTACTTCCCTTTCTCCGCAGTAGCCAACATTGCACACTTGAGAAGGTTTGGATGTTACTAATTATGCATGTCCTTAGTTGACTAATATTCAATTGTTTGCTTAATTATTTCTCCATGAATTGACACATTGAACTCATATCTCAGGCATATGACATTTGTGTCAAAAGAGATCTTTTAAGGGAGCAAGTCTTCATACTTGGAAGAATGGGGAACTCCAAAAAGGCCTTAGCTGTCATCATAAATGATTTAGGAGATATTCAAGAGGTATTTAACTTGTATTTCTTTGAAACAATTCATTTGTACCCGAAGGTCATAACTTTTATTTGTTATAATGTGCAGGCTGTAGAATTTGTAACTATGCAGCACGATGACGACCTTTGGGAAGAATTAATTAAGCAGTGTCTTCACAAACCTGAAATGGTATATTCAGAACTTAGTCAGCAGACTAATTTCATAATTTTTGCTAATCAGACATTTTTCTATGCATCTCTGTGTCTGCTTTTCTCAAGCATGTTCTGTTACTTGGCAGGTGGGAGTGTTGTTGGAGCATACTGTTGGCAATCTGGATCCCCTGTATATTGTAAATATGGTACCTAATGGCTTGGAGATTCCTAGGTGAGTTCCTGGGATTTGGGTTTCAAGTGTGATGTATATTTCTTTTTATTTTGGTTTCAAGTTTCACTCTCTTTTTAATTTGCAATTGATGTAAGCTGACTAAAATTTAGTGCTTCTCTTAGGCCAGAAAAGTTTGAAACTGAATATAGTGTCAACAAGTTTTTCGCAAGTTTTGGCTAAGATGGCTGAGAATGTATGAGCTTAGGATTCAGAGATAAGACCTAGAATGATGAGAAGAAAGTTAAAGAAATGGACATCATTATGAAAATTGTTTTTTGAAGTCGGATAACAAAAAGCATTTTTCAGCAATTCTTTCAATTTATGGAATACTTAAGGTCATAAGGCTCCAAGTTTCTTGCCCAACTCAACGTCATTCTTGTTGAACCTGATAAACAACTCGAGCTTCTATACATAGTATAAACTCCTTATAATGGATAAGATAAATTCCAATATCGAATAGAAGTCAATAAAGCCCAACACTTCTAAGCATTCCAAGAAACCTGTAATGCAAACTCAAGCAGAGAAAGGCCTAGAAATTCTTGTTGATACTCTCTTTTGCATCCAAGACCTAGTAATCCATTTGTATTATATCTAAATTGTCCCTGATTTTTCTGGCGCTACAATGTATTTTATCGGGCATTGTGAGCCAACTTTTGTAAAATAAGTTGACACATATTCATTGTTTCGATGATGGTATTGCTTGCATAATGTTTGTTGTTGTGCTGTTGAGTTCTTTCAAATGTCATTCTCCTCAAGTTGCTGAAATGTTGCAGTTGTTGTTTTTGCTTCCTTCTGGGTTGATTCTGTCTTCGAACCATTCTGCATTTCTGATGGCTGTATGCTTTTTTCCTCTCTGCCTTATGATATTTGAATTTATTCTTTGAGAAACTAACATACAACTTGAACAAAATCGAGCCTTAATGCCAATTTAGCAATACCCTTTTTCTCCATTCCATTCTTTGAGCGTCTCATCACATTTTCTAGTATTAAGCATTAACCCCTCATTTAGATATAAATGAATTCCAAAACAATTTGTGGAATTCGATTGAATTCACAGTTTTCAGTGTTTGGAAATTCAATTCTGTGGTAATTGAACTTGACTAAACCAATTTCCATTAAATTGATGGAATTCCAAATAAATTCCATAAAGTTTACACAACTAAAATTTTAGATTAAAATACCCATCTTCCATCGTTCTTTCTCTCTCTCTCTCTCTCTCTCTCTCTTTTATCATTCATCCTGCTTTTTCTGTAACTCTATTTCTTCGTTCGCTCCTCAATATCTCATTTTCTTACTCGTCTTTCTCGCTCTCTTTATTTTTCTTTAAGGATATTTTAAGATTATTATATATTGAATTCAATTTAGATTTATTCAAAACATAAAATACATGGAATTCAATTGAATTTTACATTTAAACTTATCATTAAAAAATGGAAATTCATTTCAAAATGAATTGCACATTTTTAATGAATGCATACCAAACAGAAAGATTCTGAAGTAATGGTAAGCATATTCTATAATACCATTTTGCTAGGGCATGTGGTTAATTCAAACAGTATATAGGTAAGCAAATACATGAAGCCTTTTGTTAAAAGTTTTGGATTCTGATATCAATTAAGTCATGCTCCAGGTACTTATAGAAAGGTCAATGAACAGCGCATCCCTGATCCCTTGACCCTTCAACTTTTACCTGAGTAGTGCAATTAGAATATATTTATCCTTGTTGTGTTTAATACTATAATTTTTTTTATATGTTGCTTTCAGGCTTAGGGATCGTCTAGTAAAAATTATCACAGATTACAGAACTGAAACATCTCTTAGACATGGGTGTAATGATATTCTCAAGGTAAGAAGCTGTTATATTCCCTTTTCATTTGAATAGAAAATAGTATCAATAGTGATTGTCTGAGCTATTGTTAACATTTTGATAATGCACTAAAATGTACAGGCTGATTGTGTAAACCTCTTAATCAAATACTACAAGGAAGCAAGACGAGCTGTTCTCTTAAGTAATGAAGAAGAGGACACGCGAACAAAAAGGGATGGTAATCGGGATTCTCAGACAAGTGAGAGAACACCGACTTTGAGAACAATGGAGGTTAAATCAAAAACTAGGGGAGATGCAAGATGTTGCATGTGTTTTGATCCTTTCTCTATACAAAATGTATCAGTCATCGTATTCTTCTGCTGTCATGCTTATCACATGAATTGTCTAATGGATTCCATGCACACTGTTGATGCTCAAAAACGGGTCGGAGCCACTTCCCGGGAGCAGGAGTTAGAATATGGATATAGTGATGATGAGGATAATGAAGATGATACCAATTCTGGTGCGCCTCGATTACGATGCATCTTGTGTACTACTGCTGCAAGTTGAGATAGTGTGTTCTTTTTTATATTTTCCTTCCCTCGGTTTTTTTTGGTTGGGAAGTAGGTAGGGGGTGGGCATTGGTGCGAGTTTTTTGTTTTATTTTATCAGGCTGTTCTTTCCTTTTTTTTTTTTTTTTTTTTTTTCGATTACGATGCATCTTGTGTTTACTACTGCTGCAAGTTGAGATAGTGTGTTCTTTTTATATTTTTCCTTCCTCGGTTTTTTTTGGTTGGAAGTAGGTAGGGTGGGCATTGTGCGAGTTTGTTTTATTTTATCGGCTTGTTCTTTCTTTTTTTTTTTTTTTTTTTCTAAAAAATTTTTTCTTTTTTTTTTTTTTTTTTTTTTTTTTCTAAAAATATTTTTCTTTATTTTTGTTGTTAATATATCATGTGTGCTATCCATCAAATTTACCAGTTTTGGTCGAGCTTCAGTTGTATTATAATTCATATAATTATTAATGAAAGTGTTAATTTTTCATGGTATTTGACTTCTATTTTAGGAATTTGTAACTAGTATTATGAGAACTGGACCTGTCAGTGAACAGAAGAAAGTACGAGATTTACTGAACCGGAAGATTCAACCGGCTTCAGTAATATCTTTAGATATGATTGTTAGTACAATTGAAAGTACAGGTAAAAAAGATTTGGGCTTTGCAAAAAGAATAAAAAAATTAGTTAGTAATGATATTAAACAAAAAGAATAAAAAATGATTAAATTTAATAGTAAACAAAAAATCAATTAATTACCATAAAATATTAATAAGACTAAAAGAGATTCAAAACTTGATCTATTATCAGTTGTATACGATTAAATTATACCTTGATGAGCTTCATTTTTATAAATAATTAATTGTTATGAAATAAATGGATGTATTATTCGGATTTGAAGTATGTATTTTTAATTATTGCGAGCTCTATCTTCCTGATTTGTATAGAACTCTATTAGGATTTAACTTATATATATATATACGTGCACTCTATTAGGATCTAACTTATATAACTATATATACGTGGCTTCTTAACAATAATAAATACACTTTCGTATTCTCTCCCTATTCTCTCTATTCTCCATTTATTTCTTTCTTTATTTTTCTATTATTTTATAACACGTTATCAACATGATAAGTAGTGCTAATAACTATTATTATTAGGGATGTTTTATTATTAAATTATTTATTTTTAAATTCTTTATTATGATATTATTCTGAATACAACTATTTTGTTTTGCTATAATAATTTTCATGATATAATATATAGATCTTGAATTTATAGCCTTTTGTATTTCAGGCAAGAACGATTATATTTAGATGCAACGAATCTTGAACATCAAGAATCTAATCAAAATAGTTCCAAGGCGATATTTTTCTCCTGTTGAATATTTGATAATTAAACTTTGATTTGTTCTTTGGATTGATTTGAAAGTTAGGTACAACGATCAAAAGAGCTCATCATGAATTGATGCATTTATCACTACAAGATCGGAAAATTGTAAGTTATTTTAATTTTGCAATATCAAGATTATTATTTTTTTATTATAATTATTGCTATATATTAGCATATATTATCCACGCGGTATAGATTTTGAAAATTAATTGATTTATTTTTTAAATATTATTAAGATATTGTTATTATTATGTTTGGAGCTTATATTTGCTTTTGATATCGAATTATTAATAATATTTATACCTCGAATATGATTCTGAAGTAGCAATATCGAGAGAAAAAATTTTATCATAAACTTTGGATTTATTTCATATCTTTTTCTTATTGAGCAAAGTATTGAGCTTCTGATTAATATCGTGATAGTTGTCCAATTAGATTTTTTCCATTCTCTTGGGTGTAGTAAATGTCTACCTAACTAGTTTTGATGCATTTCCTAAAGTGAATGCAATAATATATAATATTGGACATCGACATGAATAATGACAAATATATACTTGTCATTGCGAGTATCAATAAAATCACAGTTGAAGTAATGATCTTAGCAATTATTATAACCACATCATCAAGACTAAATTTTACCACCATAAGTGTTACAAATAATGTGGCTTATATAGATATTAGGTGTGGCCGGTTCATTGAACCGCTGGTTCAAGATTTTTAAAATATTGACCCTGAACCAGCCCTTTGAAACACCCTAAATTTTTATTTTTGAAACCTTTGAATTTTTATTTAATTAAAAATCGGAAATTTTGACCGTATGGGCTGTAAATGTAATACAGTCTCAATTCGAGTCCAAATTTTCGAATTGGGTCCAAGCCCAAAAACAGATTATTCGGAATTTTCGATCCGAGAACACTTAAAATTTTTGACGAATCAAATGAAACTCTAGTTACTAATCGATTATAATTATATGTATAGGTATGTAATTATTATATAAATTAATTATCCTAAAAATCAAATATCATAATTGTTCATATTTTATTAATATTGAGTAAATGGAAAAAATATTATGGAACCAAACTAAATAATTAAAATAAATCGAGAAAGACCAACTAAATATTAAAATAAATCGGAACCGGGCCTTAAAACCAAATTGGAATTTTTCGAAACACACAGGGAAAACTGCGGAAAACCCGTGGAAAACCCGATAACCAAGGCAAATCCGAGCCAAGATTAAATATAGGACCAGCACGGTTTCGATCGACCCGGAATTGGTCTAGAGGCCCAGATTTTTTTTCTTTTCTTTTTTCTTTTTCTTTTCCGCTTGCTTTTTCTTTATTCCCGTTCTTACCCTTCTTTGCGCAGAGCGCAGCACGCGAAAACCCCCCCTCACCTCATCGTTTTCCGAACACACACTGAGATACCCTCGCCGTCGTCTTGCCTCGCCACAGCGTTTTGATCTCGTCTCTCACCTCTGTTCCATTTCATTTTGGTGACGAGTGACAGCACGCAAGGAGAAGCTCGCGACGGGGAAATCGCGTTCGAAGCTTTCCCTGATTCCGCCGACTTTCTGCGCGACGCTGGCTCTACTGCATCACGGAGAAGCGCGCCGGAGATCTCTCATTACGTCTTCTCTTCGGTCTCTCGCTGGCTTTGCAGCTCAGGTGAGACGGGTCTACCTCCTATTGGATCGACGGCAATGACGTGGGACGTGGCTGTCGATGCCCGTTCGGCTTAACCCACGCCACTGGGGCTCAAACAAACGAACGGACCGGAAAATCAAGCTCCTACAAGATTTCGGACAGCATTTGGTGTGCGAATGCCGCAACTTACTGGCAAAAATGGTATGTCGTCCACCGTGACGAGCGCGGGCGATGGCGGTTACGCAATGAACCGGCGCGCGCGAGCTCGGCGAGCACAAGGGACAGAATTTCTCTTCTTTGTGAGGATCGTGGAGTCGTCACCCTTGAAATTTCGTATCAGGTACGCACCTCAAAGTTCCATTTCCTTGCATTTGTGTTTTTATGACTTTCTGATTTTAGAACGATCACAATAATATAGTGTGTGGCAAATAAATAAACGATCAAATTCCATCCTTGCTTAGAATTAGATAATGGATAATGTAGTGACAAATTAATTTACCATGATAAATACAAACTACATTGTGAATTAAATATATATATTACGGCGACTTGAGAGGAGATAAATTAGACATTAGAGTTAATTTAGTATATTAGAATGCTCATTAGTCTAAAACTAGAGATAGTTTTAGTAGATCGTTGAACTAGGTTAGATGCGAAAATTTTGATAGACTCAGGTTCATAAAGCCTAACCACCTTCCGGCATTGATATAAGAATCTAATCTAAATAAATTAGTAAGTTCAATAAATAGTTATTAGCTTAAAAATGATTTTAAACAATCTTAAACCAGTATTAATTTCATTAAAGGCGTGTTAGAAGTTTGTCAGTTTATGACTTTATAACGAATAATTTTATGAGTTATTAGTTAGAACAGGTTTGAAAGTCTTGCTAATAATGTATTGAAACTTATTTTTTAATAGTTTGTGATGGTAGTTTAACTGATGTTAGTAGTGATATGTTATTTTAAATTGATGATTTTTCCCTACTGGCGATGGTTCTGTGTTCATTTTGATTTTAGGCTACGGAAGGAACGTGACTGAGCTGAACCGGCAGACGAGTACCCGGATATAGACCGAACCGAGGGGGGTGAGGGGACCGGGGCCGGCGGATAATATATAATAATATTGTGTATTGAGCGGTAGAATAGTCCAATTTTTAGGAGAGGTGGGCGACTGCTCGAGAATTTTGATAAGAACTATAGGACTAAATTTTAATTAACAAACATATAAATAAGTTTATTTAGATCTTAGTTCATCATAAACTTTGGGAACATAATAACATGTATGTGCTAGTTGATTATTTTATTATCTTTGATTATTCATTTAAGTATTTATTATTTATTCTTATTATTATTGTTAGTAGGTTGTTTATTTAATTTTGATTATTGTTGTTAAATTGTATATACTATTTATTAATTATCTAATTGCAGTTGATTTTTGGATGTTTTATTGCTTGCATTGCATTTCGATGTCTAATTGATAATATGTCTTTGCATTGATTGTGCAATGTTTGATTTATTGGTGTTGTGAGTATTGCTGTGCTTTGCTGCTGTGTGGAGATTGGATGAAGTGGCGTCACCATGGGGTTTGTGAGGGTGTACGATCGATAAGATTGGATCAGACTGCTTATGATGAGATTATGAAACTGGACCGGATCGGCCGGCGGTAAATCGGCGCATCGGCGCCCCCTGTGTTACTACTGTTACCGTTACTGTTAACCACAGGTTGGCTTCTTTATTGGTACGCACCGGATAATTAGATTTGAGTTGGCAGCCCGCAGGGTGCGGCCTTCTGTTGTGAGGCGCGCTGTATGATTTTAGATTTGCATGAGACGACCGGGTTGCCTCCTGTTGGTATGGAAAAAGAAAGAGAGAATTGGAAGAAAAATGGAGGGCGTGGTCAAATAGGCATTCTAGAGCCGGTCGGGCCAGTATGGGGACTCGCGGCTCCCTGGTGCACATGTGAGAGAGAGTGCAGCCCATGTGGGAGACGCCTCATCGGGGTTATCGTGACTCCACTGATCTAATTTCACCGTGATGTGATGCGTATATGATAAGATGCTATAAGTTGTGAGCTGTCTGGGTGAGGTGATGGGGTTCTCGTGCGCGGGGTTACTGAGCG